GCTGGAGACCCCAAGGGTGTGTTCAGGTATAGAAAGAACCATGAATGTTCAGTGATGCACAAAGGGCAGGCGCTTTGGGATCAGACCAGCCAGGGTTTCCATCCCTGCACTGCCCTTTCTCCCTGGGCCACCTTGGGCTCTCTGCTTCCTTTCTGCTGGGTGAGCATGGGTCAACCTCCCAGGCCTTGGGGTGAGATGGGCCTGGCAGGAGCTCACACCAAGGCTCGGCATCTCCTCGCAGATTTCTCCCAGGGCCTTTTTGGGTCTGGGGCCACGGCTGAGGAGCCTGCACCTGCAGAAGAACTGGCTGCAGGCCATGCCCGCCCTGCCCCATCTCAGCCAGCTGGAGCTCATCGACCTCAGCGGCAACCCCTTCCACTGTGACTGCCAGCTGCTCCCACTGCACAGGTGGGCACCTCACTGCCCCTGCCCTGGGGCGGGCTGGGGACCCACCAGTGGCTCTCAGGCCCCACCCTCTCCCCAGGGCACCGTGGCCGCGCCGCCGAGCATCTTCTGGGGGGAGGGTCCTGCCAGAGCCAGCTGCCAGGCCTGAGGGAGCCAGAAGTGCATGGGACTTGGGGTGGACTTCTCTGGGCCTGGATTCCCTCACTCGTCCTCCCGGCCTAGCGGGGCGGGACCTAATAAATATTTGTGGGCGCTTCATTAATTTCATAAGAAAGCAACAGGAACCCTGGAGTCCAGCAGAGCTGGAGACTGGCTCTGGGCCCCATGACTTCTCTGTGCCATTCCCTCATCTGTAAAGGGGATGGGAAGGACCTGTGTCCACCTCATGGGGGTTCTTCGTGAGGATGACCCTGTGAGCTCGCATATAATGATGGATTTGAACAGTGTCCGGAGCACCCTAAGCTCTCTGGAACTATTATTGCCACTATCCCCTTTTTACAGACAAGGGATCTGAGGATTGAAGGGACTCCCTCTGAGTCCCCTAATTGGTGAGGGTCTGAGCCAGGATTCCCTCCAGAGTCTGCCCTCACCCACCAGGCTCCACTGCCCCCCAGTTCCCGAGGACCTCCTCGCCGCCTCCTCCCCAGGAAGGCTCGGCATAGCGGGTTCCCTGAACTCTCTCCTCTCCTCAGGTGGCTCATAGGGCTGAACCTGCGTGTGGGAGCCACCTGTGCTACCCCTCCCAGTGCCCATGGCCAGAGGGTGAAGGCTGCAACTGCTGTCTTTGAAACCTGCCCAGGCTGGGCTGCCAGGAAGGCCAAGTGGATGCCCGCCCCCAGGTCCAGGGCCAGGAGAACCCCCACGAAAGGATGATGGCTGAGAGCAGACAAGGTTGGCCTGGGGGCAGGTTGGGGGAGGCCTTGGTGGGTGGGTCAGTTTCCGAAGAGCCTGGGGTAGCAAGGATCTGACTTCTCTTAGTCCTAATTCCTGTGGTTCCAGATCTGGACAGTGACTCTTGTCGCTTCCATTCCATGATATCTGTCCCTGCTCCTCACCTCCTCTACCTCTGGCTGGGCCCAGGTGGGTCTGTGAGGAAATGACTACACTGTCCCATCCTGTGGGACAGTGGCCTGAGAAGCCACAGAATCCCTGGAGCCTGCATTCTAGAAGCAATGCCACTATTGCCAGATTTGCTGCTCATTGTTGATTCCAGTCCTTCCTGGCCTCCGGGGCCTGGCTCAGCCCTGGGACGGGAGGAGCAGGGGTGCCATCGCTGTGGCCACCGCCTCCTGCTGGTCCCTGTTTTGTGTTGTTCCATCACCTGCCTGACAGTTTTGTTCACATATTTGAGCCCTCGGTTTTAGGAAAACTGTGCAGCGCACAGCGGAGGGGGAGGATACGGGGACCCTGGCCTGTGAGGCCCCCTGCTGTGTGGTGAGGGCACTGGGAGGGTGTCTAGGGGAGGGGCCAGTCCTGAGAGGGAAACTGAGAACAGAGAAGCGGGTCCCGGTAAGACAGGGAGAGGGTTCAGCCTGGCCTGCCTATGGAGAGGCATCCCCAGGACCTGGGTGCCTGGGGACCAGGAGGTGGTGGAGTAGCCCCCAGGGGCCGCTGTGACAAAGTACCACAAACTCGGTGGCTTAGGACAACGGACATTTTGGCTCACTGTTCTCAGCAGTCTAGATGTCCACGGGGCTGTGCTCCCTCTGAGAGCTGTGGGGGAGATCCTTCTGAGCCCCTTCCAGCTTCTGGTGGCCCCTGATGGTCCTTGGCTCGTGGCCACACAACTGCAGTCTCTGCCTGACTTCACATGACATCTCCCTGCCCCTTCACATCTTCCTGTGAGATTGGAGTCCAAGTTCCCCCTTTTAGGACAGGAGTCCTATTGGATTAGGGCCCAACCCCATGACCTTGTTCTAACATGATTACCTCTGTGAAGATCCTATTTCCAAGTAAGGTCTCATTCTCAGGTGTATCTTCTTTGGGGGAGGGGCACACAGCTCATAAGTGTTTCTAGTCAGGTAGGCTGGGAGGAAGGAACCTCTAGAAAGACCCCAAGCTGAAGGTGAGCAGTTGTGCCTTAGAGCACAGATCTGGAAGCAGCATTAATGACAATAGCATCAATCTTTGTGGACACTTTTGTGGCGCCAACTTCCTGCCAGGTGAGGTGCTCCAAATAGCCCTGGAGTTATGTTTTTTCTTTTTAAAGATTTTGACAGATCACAAGTAGGCAGAGAGGCAGGCAGAGAGAGGGGGAGGCAGGCCACCTGCTGAGTAGAGAGCCCGATGTAGGGCTCAATCCCATGACGCTGAGCTGAAGGCTGAGGCTTAATCCACTGAGCCACCCAGGTGCCCAATTCTTCATTCTTTAAAAAGATTTTTATGGGAGAGAGTACAAGCAGGGGGAGGGCCAGAGGGCCAGATTCCCTGCTGAGCAGGAAGCTCAACATGGGGCTCCATCCCAGGACCCCAAGATCATGACCTGAGCCGAAAGCAGCCGCTTACCCAACGGAGCTACCCAGGCGCCCCAGCTATTTCATTTTTGTGGAAAGTGGCAGTTTCCTCCCAGGAATGCAAAGGAACAGAAAGATGGGGGCCCTGGGGTGCCTGGCTGGCTCAGTCGGTGCAGCCTGCGACTTCTGAGCACAAAGACTCTTGAACCAGACTCCACGCTGGGCATGGAGCCTACTTCGAAAAAAGAAAAAGACAAGGACCCTGACCTCGAGGATCATACATGGCTGGGAGCCCTTCTCCGGGCCGTGCTCACCTTGCGCACAGCCATGACTGGTCCACGCACGCATCATGCTTTCGAGGCCCAACCTCTGGCGTGCTGTCTGGCAAACGGAAGATGCTTCAGCAAGGACACCGAGTGTGGACGAGGACTTACTGGTGGAAACATGGCAGGCCACCCTGGGTTTAATCCCAGTGCTGTCATTTAACAGTTGTGAATTTAAGCGAACAAGTTACTAAACTCTGATAAGCCTTTTCCTCCCCCATAAAGTGAAGTCAACGTGTACGTCAGGGTTCCTGTGAAAATCAATTGTGTACACGTGTACCCTTGTACCTGGTGTATGAGGCCGTTTCCAATGGCAGTCCCCTTGCTTGCCCACCCCTCGGGCAGAGCAGTATCTAGACTGGGGAGCAGTGAAGGAAAGGTGTGCGCATCTGCACTTGGTCTAATCTGCGCCAGGAGCCACTGCGGGTCATGGAGCAGGGGAAATGTTTCCTCAGGGGGTCTCACAGCTAGCCCCCACCCTCCCATCTCTCCCCTACCCATTCCCCCCGCTACTGGACTCCAAGGTCTCCAGTTCTCTCCAAGGGCAAATGAGGTACAAAGCTGGTCCTGTGCCCGGAGTGAAAACCTCCCAGAAGCCCACAATTCCGTCTGTGATCAATCAAGTAGCTCTTTTGGCTCCAGCAACACAGGTTACGTATTTTCAGGTCCCACACTCACTGGGGCTTAGTACCAGGCGCTGTGGCAGACAAGGCCCGGGCTCCGCCTCTGGGGAGCTCAGGATCTTCCGCGAGAGGAACAGCAAACATGTAAAGGGTAACCTGCGTGTGGTTGCTATGGAGACGGGGTGCTCAAATGAGGGCGTTTATTCCTTGTGCTTGTGGGTGAACCCACCCTCCGTAATGGACTCCATGAGGGGACAGATGAGAATACAGTCAGCTCTCAGGCACAGGCAGGCGTCACTTCATTCAGGAAGGAGGAACTGAAGGTCACGTGGCATACAAGTCCCATTTTCCCAGAAGCTCCGGTCAGAACTGGACCCAACTCCAGGTGGACTGGGACGGGCACTAGCTGCCGCCGGGAGCAGGAGCCTGCGAGCGCTCCACGGGTTCCCTGCGAGCCCAGATACACACTCAGGATGTCTCTCTCCCCTGGGGACTGAGGCTACGGACCCGTCACCACCGCGGGTCTGGGGTGTGTGGGAGCGACAGCAGGAAAAAGCAGGGCCCCTGTCCTTGACTTTCACTGCGTTCCAGATCTAGTTACTTTTGGGAGGGGAATTCAGGCTGCACCAAACGGCCACTTTCTGGGCCTGGTTTCTATACCACATGGAGCTTTCTAGTGCTTTTAGCAAAGGAGTGAGGCTGGAAGAAATGAGTGGAAATTAGCTCCCTTGGGCTGGTCACCCCATCTCTGGCTGACACCACAGAGCCTGGGTCCCGAGCGAACGCATGACCAGCGCCGCCCTCAGCAAGCACGGGCGGCGGCGGCCTGACGGGCCGGCTGAGGATGTAGCTGCACATCCCCAGCGGCCGGCTGCATCCCCGAGGGACGACACGGGAACCCACCCGGCAGCGCGCCTCTACTCAAAGACAAGAACTAAAGGTCAGCCTTCCTCCACCTTTCCTTCCAGGAAGAGTCACTGAAGAGATGGAAGGAGGAGACAGTTTCCAAGGAGACTAACTGGGAAAAGCAACTGAAATTTGGGTGGACACTAGGGGAGCTTCTAGAATGTAATTTCAGAAAGAACGATGGACAGAAAGGGATAGAGGGCCAGGAAGCAGGTGCTGTTATCCTCTTCTCCCTCCCTCCAGGGCTCCCTTAGGGCCACCTGAGCCAGCCCTGAGACTCGGCAGCGCTGCATCTGGCTCCGGGTAACAGCGAGAAGGGGGCGTGAAAGCCAAGCCGGGCTCAGAGTGGTTAAGCGCAAAGCTGGCGGTGGCCTCCCTTCCAGCTGCCCCCTCTGCCACCGGGCCTCCCCACGTGGCAGGAGGCCCTGAGCCCAGAGCAGACCCCACCTCAAGGCCACTATTCTGTTTAGGAGATCAGGGGCAGTCCTCTTGCCAACAGAAAAAACAGGTTAAGGCCACCTCACAAGTCACCAGAACCTGCCTCCTGGTCATTGCCACTTAGCTGCCTGCGTGGGGTTCCCTGGCCTCCCCCGGGTGTTGGCAGGAGCAGAGCGTCAGGCCCAGGGGGAGAGGCTGCTCTCAGGCACCCACACCACTCGCCACCAGCCTCCCCTCCAGAGCGCGGCTCCAGGCCTGCATTACGGGACTTGGAGGACACACGCGTACACGCTTCACGGACTCGTCTTCCCGTGTGACTGGGGCAGCCCTCTGCCCCCTGGCAGCTGAGGGGTAGGTGGGTGTGCGGCGAGGTTACTGCAGGGCGGAGGGCGTGAGTCCTTGGGGCCGGCCGTCGGAGCTCCTGGCAGAACTCAGGCAGAAAGGCTCCGTCTCCAGACTGAAGCAGCAGGGGAAGGGCGGCGGCCCCGAGGAGCCCGGGGCTGGTGGTGGGAAGGCTCAGTCGTCCGTCTCCTGTTTAATGCTCTCGATGGGAACAGGCAGCGCCGGACTCGGGGCTCTGTCGGGCGCAGCCGTGTCCAGATGCTCCTCCTTCACGCGCACGGCGATGACTGAAGAGGAGGGGTGGGGGGCGGGAGGACAGGGTGAGCGGGTGTGAAGCTCCTGGGAAAGGCAGGGGCCCCTGGGACGTGGCGGGGAGGTGGGAATGGCACCTTCCCCCCGTGGGGCAGGCGGCGGAGACGGAGAGGGCCCGGCTGGAGACGTGCGGGGGCGTTCAGAGGCGGGGGTGGGCGTTCGGGAAGCTCTCCAGGCCCCGGGGTCCAAGGAGGACTGCTTGGCGCCCGGAGAAACCCCTTCACACTGGACTCTCCTCTTCTGTGCCCAGGTGGGGAAGGAGAGGGGCCGCCTCTGAGCGCCCGAGCAGGCCGGCCCTGGCTCGACCCCGCCCGGGAGGCTCTTACTGTCTTCTGGAGCAGGATCTGACGACATCTTCTCTGCGGCCTGCAGGTCACCCTCCAGCAGGGGCTTCTTGGACCCCTGTCTGAGGGGCCGGGCCTTGGTCGGTGGCATTCTTTTCCCTTTGAATAAAAACAGAACGACACTCAGCACGGGCTGTATCCATGGGGGGGTGGGGGGCTCGAAGGCTGGGGTCATCCAGCGGGGAGCAGAGGCGATGGGCGGAGGGGCAGGTGCCCGAGCCTCAGAGAGCGTCTCCCTGGGAGGGGGTTAGTTCCAGCCACGCCCCCTGCCCCCCCGGGGGGCCTGCTGAGCTTCCCTCCCTTCTTCCCCTGCGCTGTGACTCTCCCAGCCTCACCAGTGCTGACGTGACCAGCTCCATACCCTCACGTCACCCTGATCCTGCCCAGGGACCGCATGCCTTCCTCCTTGTCCTGTTTCCAGAAACCTCTCCTCTCTGTGGTGCCCCCTCACGGAGAGCATCTCACTGCCACAGGCCGGCAGCTAGGAAGGACGGCTTTACCTCCCCCCTCCATACCCACCCCACCTGCCGTCCCCTCAAGCTGCGCCTGCACAGGGCTCCAGATCTGAGTGGGCCCTGCCTAGGGAAATGACACCACAGCTCCCACCCCTGAGGGTCCCAAGGGAAGAACGACAGGCTTGAGGAGAAACTGCCAGCCTCCCGGACATCTGACTTCCAAACAGCAGTTGTGTCCGCCTATGGGGTGGATGGGGTCATGCTGACTTCTGACCACAGGGCAGTAGGGATGGGGATCCCTCCCCCTTTTCTCTCTTATAAATACCATCTCTTGCCTTTTTTTCCTCGGGACCCTGACCATTCCCAGAGACCGAAGCCTCCCTATTTGTGCTTGGGTCCCTTAAGACACAGGCTGACAGGACTGTTGGAGCCAAAGGGCAAAGGAGAAGGGACGGAGGGACCACGAAGAGTGCTACCTATGTGGTGACCACCCCCTGCTCCCAGAGACAAAGGCCCAGCTGATCCCAAGTCCCACACCAGCCCGGCTGCTTCAGAGAATCACTTACTTTTCTTCCCAAACTGTTTCTTTTTCTTCTTTGTGGCCTCTTTGGCCTTCAGAGGTGTGGTTGGCTCTGTTGTTGCAAGACGAGGGGAAGAGGTAAGAGGAGAGTTTGAAGAGGGCATGGTACAGATACACCTCGAGACCCCTTGCCCACACCTCACTAGCCTCCCTTATACACAGGACACCCCAAGAAGGAAAACCAAAGTTGGGCAATGAGAATGGGGGAGGGACTGGAGAGCAGCTGTCCCTTTTTCCCACCCTTGTCACCCAGGCTGCTCCGAGGGGCCTGGGTGGTTTACCTGGGGTGCACAAGGGCACGAGCATATGACAGAGTGGGCAAGATCAAGGAAGGCGCTCTGCAGGCCAGAGGGAGAGGGAGACAGACAAGTCAGGAGTGGGAGGTGGGGACACAAGGGCCAGTCTTTCACTAGAAGTGGTCCAGGAGACTTCTCGGTCTCATGCCAAAGAATGAGGCAGGCATGGCACAGGGGCAGTGGTTGGCAGGAAGGAAAAAGAGAAGGAAAGTCAAGAGTACCCCGGGGCCGCAAGAGCCCAGACCTGCGGCCACAGGTGGCTGGAGCTGGTAGCCGGTGAGCTCACACCAGCCGACAGGGTAGATGTCCGGGGACTCACAGTCCACCCACTGGTCGTACTCGCTGTCCCAGCCGTCGAAGTGGATGCTGAGGAGCCTGTGCACCACCCGCTTCACCGTGGCCACGCAGATGAGCCGCGGCTCCATCAGGTCCACGGCCTCCAGCTTCATGCCCACCTTGAAGCCATGGTTGGGGCAGTCCTGGGGATGGGGGGGGAGACGCGGTGACCACGGCGGCCAGCTCCCTGCCCCAGTGGTGCTGAACCAGGGGGGAGTGGGCCCAGAGTGCCTGTGGGGAAGGGTCCCTTGCCAGTGATCCCACTGTTCCCCAGCACCAGCCCCTCCAGGGAAGGAAGCAGGCCAGACTGTCTGGCAGAATGCCTAAGGCAAAGTTTGGGGCTTCTCCCCTGAAGTGGCTGATCTCCGCAGTCCGGACTTAAGGAAGAAGGGGATGGAGTTAGCACCGCCGACAGCGGGCAGGGCAGGCAGGGCTGCCCCAGGCCCCGTGCCTCCCGGCTCTCCTCACCATGTTAAAGAGCCTCGATGGAGCTGCTTTCGACTTGGTCTTCTCCAAGTAGGTGTCCCAGCTGAAAGTGTGTGCCTCATAGCCTGATGGGGCAGAAAATGTAGATGTGGAGGGAAATCAGGGGAGGCGGAAGGGAGTCCAGGAGAGGAGCACAAGCCAAACAGGATAGCTGCTTCAGGACCCAGTCTAGAGTCTCCCCAGCAGCCTTCTTTCCTCCTCCCCAGCCTGGTACCTGCTATATAAGACCATGGTCCTGTAGTACAGGTTGTTCACTGCCCAAAGGAACAAGTAGGAGCTCCGCTCACCCAGATACTCATCAGCCATGGAGCCAAGTCAGCCCAGTTTAACGGCTGGTGGTGTGGGCTTGGACAGGGATCTGGGCCTGTGGGCACACACTGCCCTTTCCAACTGTGAGGACAGTCTTACCTTTCGGGGGCGTGAGCTCAATGTCATTCTTTTGGCAGAAGGTGGCTGGGAAGATGGCGTGGGAGGAGGCATGGTAACAGAACCAGTCTGAGCCATCTGTGGAGGGCCCCCCATCCACGCAGATCATCAGGTAGCCGTCTAGGAGAACCTAGTGAGGGGAGGGGCAGGCAGACACCATGGTATCATGAACAGCACCACCCATCCCAGGGTAAGGAGGCTACGGTGGGGACATGAGGCGGAAGGAGCCAACCAGAGTTAGAGGTCAGCCTTCCCTGAGCTTCTGCTTCCGCCGGAACCCATACTTAGCAAATGCTGTTTCCACAGGGACTACAGCTGTTTTTTTCCAGTGTGCTCAGCGGTGAGCACATAGCCCCAGCCTGAAGACTGGCTAGATGCGCAAACCAGCATGTCCCTGGGGCTCAGGCATAGTCATTCGCTTCTTAGGCCACAGCAGCAAGGGAGGCGGTGGCGTGCAGCGAAGTCAGCAGCTACGGCTCCTGGCGGGGCTGCCACTTGAAGATGACGGTGTGTGGCGGTGGGAAGGCCCCCCAGGGAGGTAACAGGGAAGCCGATCCTGAGCAAGAAGCAGGTAAGACTCCTACTCACGTAAGCACAGCACTCTGCGAGCAGCCAGAGCGGGGAAGAGGGGCTGGACGCCGAGTGCAGGGCTCTGCGCCCCCTTGCCAGCTCCCAAAAGCCACGCTAGAGGCTGCGGGGCCGGGCCCGGGCTTACCTTGCAGATGGTCGCCACGCAGATGCTGCCCAGATTCAGGGGGTCAATGGCTTCCAGTTTCATCCCCTCCTCAAACCAACCACCTTCTGTGTAGACAGCTCGAACCTTAAAGGAATGGGGCAGCTGGGGAATCTGGGCGGCCCAGGTGGAGGGTGGGGGGAGCTGGCCTCATCTGCCATAGGCCTGGGAAGGAAACAGGGAGGGAAAGGAACACCCGGGGGCATGAGGCCTGGAGCACACCTATGACCGAGATGAGAAGTGCCCAAGGCTGTGCCTCACCTTCTTGAACAGGTAAGGAACAGCGTCACAGTAGATCTTCCGGAAGGTGGGATGGTGGGCCATGTCACTGCGCCTCTCTTTTGGGGAGATGGTAAGGGGAGCAAGGGAGAGAAGGGAGTTGCAGGCTGCTCACAGGGCCACCTCCCTCCCCTCCCTAGAAATGTGGGGCTGCCCTGCATGGGCTCTAATCTGTATCTGGGCACCCTGCGCCCTCCCACCTAGACCAGAAGACAGAACCTGTCAGGGGCTCTCTGTAGGGGCTCCTGAACCCTTAAGATCCAGATGCTTCCCACGCCATGTAGGCTCCAGGTTCGAAGTGCTTTAAAATCCTCACAAACTGAATGACCTTGGTCAAATCATGCACCCTCTCTGGACCTTGGTACCACCATGCACACGCTGGAGACGGTCACCCCCACCACACAGGGGCTGCGGGGTGCAGAGGTGCTCCTGCCCCAGCCCTGACAGCGGACCTGACAGCTTGATGCCGTGGCCGACTCGCCGTGACCAGCCCACTGGGTGGATCAGGGGGCTCCACATGTGGCACCAGAAGTCATCATCACTGTCGCCGTCTTCATAGAGGAGCCGAAGGCGACCCCCGATTACTGTGTCCACCACGGCCATGCGGGTCCGGGACACCTGGGACTTGTCCACCACCTCCAGCCGCATGCCTTGCCGGAAGGGGTACTTCATGCTCTCCACCATCTGCAACATTAGAGCACAAGCCTGCTGGGGTCCTGGGGCAACCCCCGCCACCTCCCTGTGCCAGCCCTTACTCACCCATCCCTAAGCCAGAAAACTGGCAGGTGAGCCCTCAGGTCCTACCAGGTTCGACCCTGGCCCCCGATTCCCCAGGATGATACGGAGGGACAGCACAAGGCTTCCAAGGTGGGCACCAAAATGCCAGTCAGTAAGATGGGAGGTATAAAACCCACTTCGGACTAAGGAAACAGGTGCCTCAGAGGGCTCAAGTGACTTGCCCACACCCACCCAGCTTCACCAGTGCCAGAGCTGGACTGTGAAACTGGCGCCAGTGTCCAGCCTTATGAACGCTCTGCACTCATGTCCAGAGAGCAGTGGCCCCTGGGGACTCTGTACGTCTCATTACAGCTGTGAACCCGCTGGGCTGCAGCTCTCAATGGCTGCTGCACTCTGAGCCAGCAAAGGACAGCGACCAAGATGCCCACAAGCTGTTCCGGAGAGCCCTGACGACAGGCCATGGATGAGCGGGTAGGAGGGTAGAGAGTCTTTCAGGTCACTGTGACCTCAGGGCTTTCCTGCCTGGGGTAGGAAAATGGGAACAGTAAGCTCTGTAGGGCTTTTCCAGCCCCGGAAAAACCAGCCCCAGCCTGGGCAAGGTGAGGACTAAGCTGTGCTTTTTTTTTTTTTTTTTTTGAACTTTTTTATAAAAAGATTTATTTATTTGTCAGAGAGAATGTGCGCACAAGCAGGGGGAGCAGCAGGCAGAGGGAGAAGCAGGCTCCCTGCCCAGCAAGGAGCCTGTTGTGGGACTTGATCCTAGGACCCTGGGACCATGACCTGAGCCGAAGGTAGACACTTAAACCACTCACTGAGCCTCCCAGGTGTCCCTAAGCTGTGCTATTTCAACGTCCACCAGGAGGGGGAGCAACTCCAAGGTCACAAATCGGCCAACAGGCAAAGCTAAGGGTCCTAAACCACAGACCCGTCAGACATCAGCTCAAGGCGGGGAATACAAGCCCAAACCAACTGCCTGATTGGCCCATTTCAGAGAGAGACACAGGGTGAAGTCTGGGCTGGGGTTCCTCTGGGCCACCTTCCTCTCCTAGCCTTTCCCAACATGTTCCTTCCTTGCCGCCCACCCAGGGCAGCCCACAGCCCAACACCACTTTTGTGACTTCTTTGTTTAGTCACCTGGAAGCTGAGCTCCACAGGGGTGGAGGCTAGGCTTGGGAGGACCCTCTTCTACAGGCCCAGCTCCAAGCACAGAACCAGGCAAACAGTTAGTGCTCAATCAACATTTTTTTCTCACCTGACCAACACACAGTACACTCCCAACCTTGGTGGTACTAAACATTTACACTGGGTGTACTAAACATTTTACTCAGCACTTACCACATTGTAGGCATCAAAGGAACTAGACTGGGTTTGGACTACAGCTTCCTTTACAACCCTCCCCACCTTTTACCCTCTGCCCCCCGCCTTCCTCAGAGGCCCTGCTTTTGTATCCACTGTAGGACTGGGTAAGTGACAGTGAGTCACCGTGTGCTTGTTGACTGGCTCACATGGAACCAGAATCAAGCTTTTTTTTTTTTTAAACATTTCATTTCTTTGACAGAGAGAAAGCAAAAATAGGGAGAGCGGCAGGCAGAGGGAGAGGGAGAAGCAGGCTCTCCGCTAAACAGGGAGTCTGACGTGGGGCTTGATCCCAGGACTCTGGGATCATGACCTGAGCTGAAGGCAGCTGCTTAACTGACTTGAGCCACCCAGACACCCCTCTTTTTTTTCTCCATGCTAGGCATGGAGCCCAATGTGGGGCTTGAGCTCACGACCGAGATCAAGACCTGAGCTGGGCTCAAGAGCCAGATGCTTAACTGACTGAACCCCCCAAATGCCCCAGAATCAAGCTCATTTTATTTAAAGTGGAGGAGAGGCCAGTTTGGTAACACTGGTGGCCGTACCAAGCCACAGCCACCTGCCTCATCTTCAGACAAGTGCCAGCTGGAGAAGAGTGAGTGCTCGGCTCCACCTGCTGAATCTGCCCACTGGGCAAGGCATTTTGAGTACAGTTACGGTTTTATTGGAAATTACAGTTTAGTTGTACACTATAGTTTGTTGGAAAGAGAGCGTGGCGCCTCCTGGTGGTTCAGTCAGTTTAGCATCTGCTTTCGGCTCAGGTCTCGATCCCAGGATTCTGGGATCAGACCCCATATTGCGCTCCTGCTCAGCGGGGAGCCTGCTTCTTCCTCTCCCCGCTGCTCGTGCTCACCATCACTAACTACCTCTCTCAAATAAATAAAATCTTATAAAAAAGAGAGTATGAAAAGATAAATTAGCAAAACACAGAGAAATAAAGAACAAATGGACAGTACCCAGCAAGTTCAAATAGAGCAAAAATCATTTGTACTTTAGGGAAAACCAGGGAAAGCTTCCTTGAGGTGCTGGAACCATTACTTGCCATAAAATCACTCTCCACCAGCTAAGACTAGGACTCACGGTGGCAACGTCTTCACCAGGTGACCCGTGCCTTGGATGAGATGGCCCCAGCTCCTCTTCCATCCTTACTTTCCACTTGTGGCTTCCAGACCACCCACACCCTACTCATCAAGGGAGAACTCAAATGCCACTTCCTCCAGGAAGCCTTCCTTAACAGCTGCTCCTCTTCAGGCCACAGGGCCAGCTCAAGCCTGCGCCAAGGCGGCCCCTGCTCTGCATCCCCTGCTCACTGTCGCTTTTGGAGGCAACGTGGGAACCAGAGCTGTGTGCATCCAGGTCAGGAGACCTCACAGTCCGGGCCCCTAGGTGAGTGAGCCCCACCACAGCGGGTCTGGGTATTAGAGGAGGGAGAAATGAAGTCTTCACTATGTATCCTTGTATTCCCTTTGAATTTTTACCGTGTGTGTGATTCTTTAAGGAGCTAAGTTTTATAAAATTTAAATTAAAAGCCACAGAGGGGGCGCCTGGGTGGCTCAGTTGTTAAGCGTCTGCCTTTGGCTCAGGTCATGATCCCAGGGTCCCTGCTAGGCGGGAGGCCTGCTTCTCCCTTTCCCACTCCCACTGCTTGTATTCCTTCTCTTGCTGTGTCTCTGTCAAATAAATAAATAAAATCTTCAAAAATAAAAAAATAAAACATGGAAAGCCACAGAGATGACTCAGAGGCACACCCCTGGTTTAGAACCCAGGCTATTTTATGATTGCTCTGCTTGACTTCGTTTCCTCTGCCAGACTGCAGAGTCCTGAATACAGGCTCTGTATCCCCACAGTTCTTTGTACACAAGTACTTAACGAAATCCATGGAACAAATGTTGCTATGAGCAAAAGTGAGGCTCTGGAGGAGGAAACAGGAGACAAAGCAAGGTGATTAACATGGCTGGAGCAGAGTCTGGGTCGGGGGCCAGGCTGACACTAGGCTGGGGAGGCAGACAACAACCGACATCCTTCCTGGAGAAACGTGAAGCTGCTAAAGACTGGCAAACAAGGGCGTCTTTGAGAAAACACTCCAGTGAGTAGCAGGGACAGAGGAAACGAAGGGTGCAGGAAGGAGATCAGTTAGGAGACCCAAAGGGCTCGCTGCCAGACCTTGATATGGAAATCCACGGGAAGTGTCCTGGAGCCCACCAACCGCTTCATGAGGTACCCCTTCCAGTCGGTGAACTTGGCATGGATGGCTGTGGAGACACAGCAGAATCCTGGTTACACAGACTGACAACGCTCCCACCCACAGGGGGCGCCAGAGCCACTTAGTTCTGCCTTGTCCGGCCAGCCATCCCAGCTTCTAAAACCAGCAGCACAACCTTGATCTGTCCTGGGGCTTCTGAGGGAGGGAGGACAGGAAGCAGGCTGGCAAGTAGGTTCTGCTCTGGTCTAACCTCAGACAAAGGGTTCCCCTTCCACCAAGGGCTCTGCAGAAACCGTGACAGGGAATGTTCTCATCAACTCACTCCGTGGGGGCACCAGGATCTTGCTGTTGATGGCACACCAGCCAATGGGGTGGACGTCCACTGTCCCAAGGTTGCACCAGAAGTCATGGCTGGCGTCATTTTCAAAGCCTTCATACCGGAGCAGTACCCGGTACCCTGAAAGAAGGAGGGCACCCATGAGGGAGGGAGGAATGAGGAAAGGTGTATTCTCATGCCTTCCCTCTTCTCAAGCCTAAACCCGACTCCTATTCTAAGAACTCCTTCCGGGCAAGAGGGGTCCCTGTTGTCCACAACAGTCACAATCAAAATAAACCCATGCCCCATACTCAGAAAGCAGTATGGCACAGCAGGAAGAATGAATCTTCTGCAACCTGATTGTTCCTGGAAAAAACCTTAAAAAGGGGAATTTACAAACTTGCCATGCTTTGTGGCCTCTCTGAAGCCAGGAAAAGTAGGAAAATCCCAAGAAGGGATTGGCAGAACTCTAGTAGGTGGGCGTTTTTGTTTGTTTTATGAAGCCAGTTTCTGCCTGCAACAATCCCCACCCATGTGGAGATGTCGCTCTCCAAACCCAGACCCTGCCATGGCAGGAGGAGTCCCCACCTGCGGCCTGGATGACGGAGGCGATCCAGTACACCCGGCTGGGGAGCACCGCGTCGCTGTTGAGCACCTCCACTTTCATCCCCTTCATCACATCCTCCCACTGGTCATAGAGTGGGACCTGTGTGGGCACGAGAGCATTTGGGGGGGGGGACGACAGTGAGCTGCCCAAGCGGACAGGGGAGAGTGACTGGCCTCATGAGCCATCACGTCCTTCTCTGCACCTTGGTGCAAGTCACTCGCTGCATGTAGCAAGCCAGGTATGGGGCTAGGGATGGAGACATGAGTAAGACAAGAGAGGAGAGTCCCAGAGAACTGAGGGAGGACACTGGGGATGGGGTAGCAGGGGACAGGACAGGAGGGCGGGGGGCAATAGCCAGACATCCTGAGTGAGTCTCCCCGAGTGCTGCTCTTAGTGGACCAGCTCACTCTGTCATCCTGGGCACCTCACACCTGTGCCAGTTTTGCGCCAGTGACGACACTGGCTCAACACCACCTACTGCTCGCCACACGCGAGACTGTGCTTGGCACAAATACCACCTCTTTCGATAGTCACTCAAGCCTGGGCAGTAGTCTCTAAGCCATCACCATGCTGGCACTCACGCACTACTTCTGGTACATTCTTTTTCCACCTCTCCAACCTGTCTTCTCCTCTTAGGATGCATCAGCACACCCTTCCTGCTTGCCTTCCCCGTTATCTAATCCTCACTTGGCACCAACAGGACCCTGATTCTCCTTTGGAGAAACTCAACCCTTTTTCCCTTCTCACCCTGGCTTGAGCTAATTGGGCTATCCACCCCACATCTCTGGCCACAGAAGGGGTCTCACACAGAACCTGAGAGGGCTATGTCACCAGGCACACAAGGCCCCGCTTGGCAGAGCCTATGGAATCAGGTACGCTGAACGCAAGGACGATTTAACTCCCTGCAGTGAAAACTCAGGGCAAAAGAGTGTCCCACTGGGAAAGGGGGGTGCCTTCAACAGCAATGCGGAAAAGTCAGGAGAAGTCAAACTTCCCTTCCACTGTCCACAGCGCTCCCCAGAGTCCAGCAGCTACTTGGATGGGACTCTGGTCAGAGGACTCCAAGAGTCAAGAGGCCTCCTCCTCCACTTCCTGGCCTGAAAGACCAGACGTGAGTGCCGCTCTAGGCGGCAGCATCTCTGCCGTCCTTCCAGTCCAGGCCCAGACCCCTGGGGCCTCACTCTTCTATGCTGCTTTGGGCAGAAGTGGGGTCCAGAAGGATCCCCACCTGCCTCCTGGGGCCAGGAGGCCCGAGGCAGCTCAGAACAAGCTTTTAGTGGGAAAACAGGGAACAATGGGGAAGAAAGAAGAAAAAGAAAAAGAAAAAGAAAAAGGATTTCTAGCACAAAGTTCCTCAGAGGGAAGCTCGGTGCCAGAAAGCCTCAATGAGGATTTGTGGGATACCGCCAGGAAAAGGTGGACAGAAATTTAAGCCGGAGCGAGAGGCAAAGCTGGACTGCGCTCACCCGGACCTGTTCTCTCCCTGGTGCCAGTGCCCAGCCTGGAATGCTTAGGAGGCTGGCAGGGGTGAGAGGGGCGGCGAGTGCCCCAGTTCCCAGCTCTCCCTCCCCTAATCTCCAGGGCACTCACATGCTTAAAACAGCTGACGGGAGCAGCTTTGTAACTGTGATCCTTCAGGAACTTTCCCCAGTCGAAACCCAGGACGAGCGCTGCAGAGAATGAGGAAGAGTTCGAAGTCAGCAGCCCCGCTAGGAACCTGGCCCCTACAAAGCTTGTAGAAACAGGTCCTTCCCCACCGTGGCAGCCCCATACCTGCCCCACCAGTGGCCATCAGAACAGGGCTAGACCTTATCCAAAGGGTGACAGACTTTCAGGAGTAGAGGAAACATTCAAGGGAAATGTCTGATCTTTCTTCCCCGGAAAAGAAAAGGAAATCCAAAGATCTTTGGGCTTAAATTCCTTAGACCTCCCCCAACCTTTCATTGGCCACAGCTTATCTGAATGGGTGGGAGGGGCGCACACCTAGGCCCCTCCAGGCTGCCTGTGGAGCTCAGCTGCAGTGAGAAACTCAGACCACCTAGAAGAGAGCTGCTTAATGCTCATATGCTTAGAACCTGCTGTACACACTCCAAGAGAAAGGTTCCTTTCCTTATCCCACAACTCCTCTCCAAACCAGAGAGGGGGCTCCACTGCCCAAGGGAAACAGAAGTCAAAGGGCCAAAAGCAATACAAGAGAAAAGAAGCTAATTCTGGGCTTCTGAATTACCAAGAGTAGGGGTCCTGGCACTTGGAGTGACTAAAGGGATTTTCTGGGGTAATTTCCATACCACATACCGATGGGGCAATCCACACGGGGCTTCGGCCAGGGCACTCTCTGGCCGCCCCATCTTTCCCATTCCTGGCTCCCAGGCAGAGCCACCCCACAATGGGCACCCCACTCCCGCCGACCCCCAGCAGCTTCCTGAGCACCAGTGCTCTGCCGTCTTACCGTCTTGCCCTGTCGGTGTCCCGTCTGCTAGCTGTCCTGTCCCTTGTGAGTGGAGGAAGGCTCCGATTTTGGCGGACCAGGCTGCCTTGTGCAGGACTTTGGCTTTCTTGGTCGGCGGTTTTCCCTGGAGGGAGGAGAACATGTGTGCAACCCAATAGCAGAGAACCGGGCTACTGCCTAGGTTCAAACCCTGGTGTTCGCCCACTTACTCCCCTTTAGTTTTTTCATTTGTAAATCAAGTGGATAACAATAACAATCTCAACTCAGAGGGGCGTGGCAAGGATGAGAGTTTCTGCTTTAACACCAACACTCAGTAAGTGCTTAGCTATTGTTCAATGAGGGAGGACCGGTCAGGTCAGAGGAGCTACAGGGCAGGGAGGGACACTCCTTCTATCTTTTCTATCTTTTCAGCCTCTGCTTCCTTTCCAGGAATTTTCCCTCCTGCCTTCAACTCTCAGCCATCTCTTTCCTCTGAGGATCCTACAGACTTACTGCAGAGAGTGGGCTTCAGAGAGGTCTGTGAACAGAGTCAGGAGGCAACCTTTTGTACACATACAGGAATCTTCTGGAACAGGTCCATGGCTTTTATCAGGTGCTCCAATGGGGGCATCCCCATAGGTGAAAGGCCACTAGTCTGGTCTATAATTTGTAAGTTAAGCACTGCTCAGAAAGGCCCAGAGACTTTTAATTTTTATTTTAATATCTATTTTATAGGGAGGGGGCAGAGAGTGAAAGTGGGGGAGGGGACAGAGGGAGAGGGAGAATATTTTTTTTTTTTTTTTTTGAGAGAGAGAGAAAATCTTAAGTAGACTCTATGCTCAGCACAGAGCCTGACACGGGCTCCATCTCACAACCCATGACCTGATCAGATCATGACCTGAGCGGAAATCAAGAGTCAGATGCTTACCTTCACTGAGCCACCCAGGCGCCCCCCACCAGATAATTTAAAAAGATCAGTGAAGTAAAAATGTGAGTTTAAATCCCACACTGACCTGGGATCAAATCCTGGCTCTTCAATTTCATTTGTATACCTCTGTGTAAGTTACTGAAAATGTTTCAGCCTTAAAAATAGGAATTTAAGGGATACCTGGCTGGCTCAGTCAGTAGAGCATGCAACTCTTGATCTTGGGGTTGTAAGTTCAAGCCCCATGTTTGGTGTAAAAATTACTTAAAAAAAAATCTTAAATAGGAATTTTTAAAAAATCATTTTTACGAGATTATTGGTTGGATTTAGTCCAAACGCTCAGCAAGTACTCCCAATTGTAGCTATTAACAATACTATTATTAGCTCACTGAGGGGAGAGATTTTTCCATGCCCTGACTAAAATCCACGCAATGAAGGAAACAACAAACAATTATCTCACAAACGTGAGATAAACTGTATGAAGTACTAAGCAGAAGACCTGGCACACTGTGACTTTCAAACGTCAGAGCAGTGGGTCTCAAGCTCAGCTACGTATTAGTCACCCGGCGAGACCTGTCTATGTCCAGGGGCGCCTGGGTGGCTCAGTGGGTTAAACCTCTGCCTTCCGTTCAGGTCATTGTCTCAGGGTCCTGGGATCGAGGCTTGCATCGGGCTCTCTGCTCATCGGGGAGCCTGCTTCCCCCTCTCTGCCTGCTTGTGATCTCTTTCTGTCAAATAAATAAATAAAATCTTAAAAAAATATATTTTAAAGTCCCTGTGTCCAGGAGGCACCTGGCGGGCTCAGTCAATGGAGTGTATGCCTCTTACGACTATTTATCTGAGAAAGAGCGAGCACAAGTAGAGTGGGGACAGGGGAGAGGCAGACTGCCTGCTGAGCAGGAAGCCTGCCCAGGACTCAGTCCCAGAACCCCAGGATCATGACCTGAGCTCAAGGCAGACGCTCAACTGACTGAGCCACCCGGGTGCCCCAAGCATCAGTATTTTAAACACCCTCCAGATGATCCAAATGTGCAGGAAAGTTTGAGAACCAGTGTTGTGGACAGTGGCCATAGTTACCAGGAAACCACAAAGTCAGGCACCTGCAATTACAGACCAGTTCCAGCTCTGCTGCTCTTCCAACAGAACTACCTTAGGTAAGTCATTCTTCCTCTCTGAACCTCAGCACACTGCTCAGCTAATGTGTGGGTCAACACATCTCTTTAAAAATCCTTCCATTTATAGGGGTGCTTAGGTGGCTCAGTCCACTGGGTGACCGACTCTTGATTTGGGCTCAAGTTATGCTCTCAGGGTCATGAGACTGAGCCCTGAGTTGGGCTCTGCACTGGGTGTGGAGCCTGCTTAAGACTCTCTCTCTCCCTCTCCCTCCGCAGTCCCCGGTCAACCCCCCACCACTCACTACTGTGGTCTCTCCAAAAAAAAAAAAAAAAAAAAAAGACTTTCTAGGTAGCTGCCTATGACTTGGAGTCAGAGACAAGGCATCAACTTCCTAAACTCAACTGTGGTTGGTGAAATATATGCCTGTCTCCTAGCTTCCCTTCAGAGCATTTATGAAAGCTAGGAAGCAAAGACCAAGGGCATCGGCCTCCCCCAAGGCTCTTGTTTAAACATACTAAACACATCAGACTATGCCGGGAGTGAAGATGGGAAATGAGAGCAGCTCTAGAAATCTGCAATTCAACAAGCTCCATAAATGGATTCCTCTGCCTTCTAAATTGCAGAGCATAACAAATAGCAGGAAACTTAACAACCTCAGACAGCCACAAGTAAGCTTCTCCCAAGCCCTCTTGGCCCCTTGCCATCAGCCAGTTGGCTGCTCCTGTCTTGGACGCTCCCAGGACCCCAGGAAGGGTCTTCCAAGTGATGGTCTCTCACCTGTAATCTGGCCAAGATACTGGCTTTCTTGGAGTTGGAGGAGTAACTCCTGGAACAGGAAACGCTGCAGAATCTCTTAGTCTTGGAGAAGAAGGCTTCCCTTGTACCCACGATACCACACATCTCACAGACAGCTGGGAAGAGAACTTAGGGCGTGACCCACCTAATACGATCACCTCAAATCAAACAAAATAACGGGCCCTTCAAAACCTGGAACAGTGCGATAACCAGGTGTCCCAGCCCCCCAGTCAGGCTGAGAGGACTGCAACACGAGCAGGAGGTGTGTGTCCGCCTGAATGTTTTGTCTAAGATAAGCTGCCTGGCATCACCTGGCTATATGTCAACAGTGGAGCTAAGGAAAATCCACAGGGCAACAGTGAGTGTTGGAAAGTCTGTGAAGAGGAAAACGAGAAGAAAAAAGTGCCTACTTCACCTAACTTCTGTGGCTTTTCTTCTTATCTATAAAGAGACTGAACTAGATCAGTGTTTCCATCCTGACATCATAGTAGAATCACCTGAGGAGCTTAAAAATTACCCAAGCCTGAGATTCTGATTTACTGGTCTGTGATGGGATATAGGCATCTGTAATCTTTAAAAGTTCCCCAGGTGGGGCGCCTGGGTGGCTCAGTTGGTTAAGGGCCTGCCTTGGACTCAGGTCATGATCCTGGAGTCCCGGGATCAAGTCCTATAGGGGGATGGGGGTGGGGGTGGCTGGGTGGGGGAGGCCCGCATGTCCCTGCTCAGCAGGGAGTCTGCTTCTTCCTCTGACCCTCTCCCCTCTCATGCTCTCTCTCAAATAAATAAATAAAATCTTAAAAAAAAAAAAGCTCCTCAGTTGATCCTAACACACAGCCATGATAGAGACATCTGGACTCAATGGTTTCTAATGGTTCTAGTTCCAGAGTTCTAAGATTCTAAGAGAATGGCTGGAAGAAGGGAGAAAAGGTGGTGGCACGGTGGGCGGGGTGGGGCGGGGGTAGGGGGAGGAAGAGAAGATAGGTCAATGGAAAGGAAAAGTCAAGTGGCAGAGTATTAGATCACTCTTCTAAAGAAGGCAAGCACTAAGGGACAGGTATGTCCTCATAGACATCTAGCCTGTCTCTCCTCATAGGTAGTCCATACACAGCAGGCCTGACACAGGGATCCAGCAGCTGTCCAAGCGGCACAGCTCAGAAATTCACTGGCTTCCAGATGCTCTATGGGGATTCTCATCAGTAATTCTCTTCCCAGGAAGTCACTTTATTCTGTATTTTCCACCCCCCACCACCAACCACATCCAACCCACAGGCTATTTCTTGTCCTTTCCCGGAGAGTAAATCAGAACATTTTAGGTGTTCTTCTCAAATTCTAGGCTTAAAAATCAACCAGCTATTCACACCAATGTAAAAGCAGCACCATATTAATGACTGGCATCTAACGTGTGCCAAATAAGTATTAGTCGTATGAAAGAACAAAGGAAATTGCGATCTCAAATCAGACTGCAGCAGGAAATGCCCCTTGGGGCACTTCTATCTCTCTCATAGGCCCTTAGATATGAGATCAAGCAGCTTTTACACCTGGACAGCTCTGCCCACATGGCCTATATCCTCCTCTTCCTCCCTAGCCTCCTGAAACCTCCCCGTCTTCAGGGGACACTCTAAAAGCACCTGGCTCAGAACCACTGCCATCCAAGGAGCGGGGAGTCCCAGGGCTGAGCAAATGCAGGGGGGAGGTGGGCAGCTCCCCTGCTTCCCGATCTTCATTTTCTGCTTCACTTGACTCTTCGAGGTAGGAGCTGCTCTCGCTGCCTGCGCTGCTATTATAGCTCCGGAAACTGTCATAGCCACCAAAGAGCTCCAAGTCCTCCTCCTCCTCCTCCTCCTCTTCCATAGGTTCTGAAGATGGAGTCTCCTAGAGGAAGGATGACACAAACCAGGCAGAAGGATATCAGGTCTGGCTAGTGTATGAGGAAGAAGGATGCAGGTCTGCTGTCAGCTCACTTTCCAATTCTTGGGTCAACACCTTTGGGCTAAGTGTCAGGCAGAATCAAATACTCCTTTGGCAAACACCAGGATCATCACTCTTGTTTACACAATTCTTAACTACAACTTATCAGAATAGCTTAACAAGACAGAAAATGGTACTGGAATTCACCAAGCTCCTCCTGTGGATTTGTAGATGATGACATTTTAACATGATTCACATAGAATACAATGATGTGAAAATACTCTAAGTTATCTCATGAAGACTTTCTGGGGGAGATGTATATTAGAAAATCATTCTTCCCTCTTCAGCATACGTACACCAAAACAATCTCAATTCGGAAACAATTACAGCCACAGAAAAGTTAATTTGGAATGCAGACTGCCCTAAGGAAGATCTGGGAAACAGATGACACACTAGTTAGAGCATAGTAGTATGTACCATAGCTCTGGACTCTGCTCTGATCCGCTCTGATCCTAACTAGGTGTGGTCTTTGGGCAGGTCACGGAATCCCTCTGGGCCTCAACTTTCTTATCTATGAAACAGGAAAAGTAGTTAGCGCACAGGATGTGAAATGTAAATGAGATATTGTATATCAATCTCCCTGGCACTTAGGAGAAAAGGTCCCAAACCAGGGCTCAACTACCATCTCTAGTGCCGACAAGCTGTATGATCTACAGCAAGTCAATCTCTCTGGCCTCGGTTCCCACATCTGTAAATGAGGATACCACCTCTTTCAGAAGCTTTGAGGGAGAAATAAGGGTTAATGCAAGTATAGCGCTCAAAACAGTAGCAAGTGTTCGATACAGGTTGGCAATTATTACTGGCTAGAAGCCTGGGCTTTCAAACCAGATTTGCCTGGGCTTGAATCCTGGCTCTACCACTTAACTGTGGTTTTGTGCCATGTACTGAACCTTGCCTTCATCAGTACAACGGAGATAATAGCAAGCCTTCTTTAGATGACTAGAATGAAGACTGAGATATGTAAAGCCTAGTTGTTTCCAGCAGTTAGCGACAGCTCTAAAAGCGTGGACTATTATTCTTAGCCTCCATTTCCCTTATAGAATTTTTGAGCTATTTCATTTTATGTTTACAACTACACGCCCAAATGTAGCAGAAAAGACACCGAATTTAAATATAAGGTGACCAGAAGCCAAATGACTCAAGGATGAGTGGGTGACAGGTTATAGGACAGCGGGAAAAGTTTTGGAGCCTGCAAGACTGAGTGCCCATCTCTTTCGCTTTACAGCTGTGTGGCCTTCCTGGGGAGTCACCAACTGTCTGCGAGCCTCGGCTACTTTAACCGTTACAGCGAAACAGTGACACAGGATTGTTGTGAGTATACTGGGCGAGAATGCACGTGAACGATCCAGACACGTAGTTTTACGAAACTTTCCTCTCCCTCACGTCCCACCAGGATGTCACTGGCCCCCTAATCCCCCAAGAAACGACCACGAGAGAGGGAGGACAAAGAAGATTCAGGAGCCCTCAGATCCTGAACCCAGTTCCCTTTCCAGGGAGGCCAGGGAGGCTGTTCCGCCCTGAACTACCCGCCAGACGTCGGGCCCCGGCAGTATGGGCGCAAAAGGCAACGCCAATCGCCTCTGGCCCTGCTCAACCTAACTACCTCAGTTTATCCATCTTTCCACTCTCCACCCTCCAGCCGTCGCTAAAAGACCTAAAGATCGGCCCCACGTGCGAGGTTCTCGGGGTTCCCTTTCCCAGTGACGATAAATCCTCTCCCTCTCACCTCGACGCCCCGAGTCTTCTCCATGAGACCTAACACCGTTTCTTCAACCGTCACCAGGTGCAGGAAGCCATATTGGCCTCGCGGCTCTTCCTCAGCGCAGTCATTGGCCACCTCCCAGAGCCGCGAGCCAATCACACTGCAGGAAGGAGGAAAAGCCGGTTCCGCGCTGGCCCGCGCCCCTGGCCCTAGGGGCGGGGAAGCCGCGGGCGCTTGTGGGACTTGTAGTTCTCCTGTGGGTGCGCGTGGAAGCAGACGTTGCTATAGCGATGTGAAAATCCCTGCGCGCTGGCCCTGCAGCCGCGGGGGCAGAGTTCATTTTTGTACGCTAACCTCCTCCTCTCGCCTCTACCGCATTCTTTATCAAACAATTATTGAGCACATAGGTGCTGTTCCAGGCACCAGGAATGACATCGCATTCTTCCTGATTAGAAGAGTTTTAAGGTGCCCTTGGTCCAGGATGACTCGCAGAGAGACTCATTTCCAATTCAGGCAGAAACTGGAATGCTCTTATGCCCAGCGCCATGAATGTCTCGCATGCTCAAAATCCAGCCACGCTGCGCCTCCATCACCATCGCCTGACTAAAACCTCGAATATGAGGCACTCCGCCTCACTCATTTTGGATGTCCCACAGCCTCCTTAAACACTCAGTTCTAGGTGCTTCGGTGAGATTTACAAAGAGCTCAAATCTGGAGACAGCCAATCACCCTATCAAAGATGAAACAGTAGCTCTTTCCGAGATCGCACACGTTTGCAATTTAAGGTTTAGCTCAGATTCTTTCCCCGTGCTAAGCTCCGCTCTAATTAATTAAGATCTAAATGTAGGGGTGCCTGGCTGGCTCCGTCAAAGGAGCGTGGGACCCGATCTCAGAGTGGTGGCTTCCAGCCTCACTAGGTGTAGAGATTACTAAAAACAAAACAAAAACCTTAAAAAAAAATAGACAAAAGAAAAAAAAAGAATCTAAATGTAGTAAGTGGAGGCTGAATATATTAAAAATATGTCTCAGTTTGCGGTCCACCACATAGACGTCAAAGTCTTTGATTTTTTCTTTCTTCAACACCTTCTACTACAAATCCCATATTCATGCTATCAACCAGCATTGTTGGTTCTACAACCAAAATATAGCCTGTACTCCTCCACCACTACCCGGCAAAGAGAAGCCACCAGCTCACTGCAACAGCCCTCCCAACGGTCCCTGTTTGAGTTTTCACCTTCTTTAATCCATACAGGTGATCTTTTAAATCATAAGCCAGATCATGTTCATCCTCTTGCTAGAAACCTCTACTAGCTTCCCCTTGCACTTTGAGTAAAATTCAAACATTCCACCAGCCCCTGAAAGACCCTTTGCTTTCTCTTCAACCTGCTCCTGTACTACCATCTCCACCTTTCATTGCATCGGTCCACTCACTCCTTGTTCTGGACTGCCAAGCTTGAATTTGCCTTAGGGCCTTTGCACTTGATGTTCTTTGTGTGGGACATTCTTTCTGTTGCTATCCAGGATGGCTTTTCATTTTTCAAATTTCAGCTCAAAGTCACCTCCTTAGGGATCTTATTTAAAGTAGCTTTTCCCTCCCCTCGCTCTGTATCCCTTCACCCATTTCATAGTTCTTTATAATACTTGTTTCTGTCTTAAATTGTCTTGTTCATTTGTTTATTTCTTTATTGTCTATCTCCCACCACTGGATGTAAGTGGCACAAGGGCAGGGACTTAGCCTGTCTTGTTCCCTACTGTATTTCCAGAGCCGAGAACAGATCCTAGCATATACTAGGATCAGTGACTAAAGAGATAGACTTATCTAGATAAGTCTTATTAATAATAGATAATAGATAAGAGATAATAAGACTTGAAGGTTTACAACAGGCTGCTTCTTAAAGGCAGAGCACTGGATTAGGTAGCTTGCTGTTCTGACCCCGGAGAACTGTTTTGTTTTTGCCACTAAAAGTGTTCTTGGCCCCATTCCTTCATGAAGAGACTTCAGCCTTCCCTCTTGGGCCTCACTTTCTTCATCAAATAAACTGGATTCAGTTAATCTCATCCAACTTGAAAAATTCCATGATTTCAAATGAAATATGAACCAAATATTTCAAACCAACCAGGTTCAACATCAAGCATGATAAACAGAGTCTAGGTTTTTACTTTGTACAGTAGAAATAATAGGGTCATATCATTGGGTTGTAAGAACTAGAAATAATAAACAGGCAGTGCCTGCCATACACCGGGCGCAGTCAATGGTGGTTATCATCATCCTGTTAGACACCAGAAGGGCAGCAATGAGAAGGATAAAACAGCTAAGAAGAATCCCCTTTATATGTTGCTTAACCTTTAATTAATTTTCAAAGTACAACCAGAGGGGCACCTGGCTGGCTCAGTTGGTAGAGCCTGCAACTCGATCTTGGGGTCATGAGTTCAAACCCCATGTTGTGCATACAGCTTACTTAAAAAAAAAAAAAAAAGTACAACCCTAAACATTACAGGCAGGGAATATGCTCATAGCAAATCATGCTGTTCAACAAATATTTATTTACTGCGTGCCTGGCACAGTGCTGGACTCTGGGAAGACACAGGTGAATATCTCTGTCCATCCCCATGGAGTTCACTGCCTCCTGCAGGAAGACAGTGAAAACGTAATGTCTGATTGAGCTGAGAAGGTACATGGCAGGGTGCTGTGATGGAGGATAGAGAAGGGAGTGCCTAGAAGGGGTTATGACTTGCCCGATGAGAAGTAGCCAGTTAGGATAGGAAGGTCATTGGGGAAAAGGCCTTCCAGAGACACAGAAGTTAGGGAGGGTGGCAAACAGCTCGTTGGCAGAAGAATGTGATGGGAAACCTTTGAAGGTTTTAAGCGGGGTAGTAAATTGATTTGATTATGCTTTAAAAGACCATTCTCTGGTTGCAGGGTGGAGAATGGATTGGAGATGGATTGAGAGAAGCAGCAGTTAGAAGCCTCTTGTAACGATCCCAATGAAGGATGATGGTGGCTTGGACCAGGGCAGATTCAGAGGGCACACAGAAAAGTAGAATTTTTGAGAAATGTGTTGGAGGCAGTAATTAACTGTACAGAGTGCGGAGAGTGAGGAATCCAGAATGACTCTGGGAGGGCATGTCAAATGGATAGATGCTGGAAGCTTGTTCTCTAATAGTTAAAAACTGTGGCATGAATGAATGAGGTTCTGTGGTTGAATAGAAGGTATTAAGGATTCTACTTAGTCGGAGATGCCTGTGGGGAAGAGGGCAGGAAGGCAGTTGGACTTCATTGGAGAGCTCTGAACTGGAGATCTGTATCCCGCATTCTTTGGCACCCTCCAAGATTGCGTGAGAGTCCCCAGTTTTCACATCTTGAAGCATACATGTATCAACAGTACAAGAAAGTAGAAATTTAAGCTTTCCATCAGTTTTAGAGCATTTCAACAAAAGAGTTTGAAGACTTTGGGAGAGGGAAAGAAGCAGAGTGTGCACCCCAGTAACAGGAACCGTTAGTAAGTTGAAATGACCATTAATTAGGAATTCAGTTGAAACATCTTACTGAACACAGGTTGCTAAGCAACAGTGGCCCCTGGAACCATGTGGTCATTCCTTCTGCCACAGAGCTCTTGGCCCTGGGTCTCACGCTGTAGCACAGGTACTCTTTTCAGTTGGTCGGATTTGTGCCTTTAACCACGGACCTCATATACCCCTCTCTTTCCAGGGCCTCCCTTCCGTGAGTCACCATCTCTCTCTCTCTCTCTCTCTGGGGTCAGTTGATTTCTCTTACTCTGTTGGATCATTCCCAACAGCAACACAAATATGTTCTTGTGTCCTCAACTATACAAATAAATCCCTCAAACCCACCTCCTCTGTCCCCTGCATTCCACCCCCAATATTTTGAAAGTCTTGTCTGCACATACTACCTCCCCTTCTGCTTCTCCATCTGTCCCCACCCTCCCCCCAAACTGTTGTCAAGTTCACGTATAACTTCTCCCATGCACAGCCACACCTCTCTTCTCTCTGCAGCATTTGGCACAACTGATCATTCCAGCCTTCCCGAAATGCTGTCCTTTCTTGGGATCCCTTTGGTCTTCCTCCTCCTCTCTGGCCAGTTATCTCCCCATTGCAGGGCCTGACCCTCAAGTATTTGCATTCTCCAGGACTCTACCCTGGGCCTGCCTTTTCTCGCTTTACTTCTCACCATAAGTGAGTTCGTTTATTTCTAGTATGGTAAATAGCATTTATATGACCCCAATTCACATCTCCAGCCCATGTGTGTGTCATCTGAGCTCCAGACTCCTAGACCCATCTTTATAGATGACAACTGCACATTGCATCATAAACCACACAATAGAACACTTTATTCCCTTATCCCATACCTATTTCTCTTCTAGTTTCCCCCATTTCAGTACATAGCACTACTAAACCACTCAGGGAACTTCTTGATTCCTCCCTCTCCATCCATCCTTTCTATCCGTCTGCAAATCCCATTAATTCTCCTAAACCCACCTCAAATATTTCTCTTTTCTAGCCCTACTGCCCCTTAAGTCCATCATCCCTCCCCTGGATTCCACTGCAGTTGGTCTCCTCTCCTACCTAGCCTATAACTTAGATGGATTAACTCCCCTGCATCACCAGTTTGCAGGCTGGGTGCTCTTTTCTATACCAAATCATCCACTTCTGCCTGGCCTTCCCCCAATTATTTTACAAGACCTTTGGGGGAGGGGGCAGAAAGGACGTCACAGTTCCTGCCCTCATAGAGCTTCTATGCCAATGTGATCTAAAGGTAAAGAGCCCAACGCTTTCCGAGCCCCGGCCTGAGGCCCGCACGGTGTTAACCGCTTTGATGCCGGCCCGCGACCGGTGACTCTGGGCAGGCCTCAGTTCGCCTCGTCTGCAAAATCGGACGGCAAAGGGTAGCTCCGGCCCCTGGCGCTCCGCGGGCAGCAGTGCAGGTCCAGGCGCTGGGGAGAGGCGGTGGTCGCGGGGCAGGGCGGGGCGGGGCCCGTGGCCACGTGGCCGGGGGCGCGCGCCGGTTCCGAGCGCCAACCGCCGGCGGTCCCGCCCGCCTCGCCCCGCGGTCCGCCTCCCGGCGCGCGGCCGACCCGCCCTCCCCGAGGCTGGGAGGCTGCAGCCCCCGCCGGAGCGAGCCCAGCCGGAGCTGGGAGGAGCGCGGCGCGGGCTCGCCTCGACGGCAGGGCCCCGGTTTTGGGGTGGTGGTGGGGGACGGTCCGTGCCGGCCGCGTAGGACCGAGCCGCGGGGACCGAGCGGCCAGCCGGCTTCCGGGAACTATCGAGCTGGGGGCTGGCGGAGCTGGGACACCGCCCCGGGGTTGCGCCCCTGGGGGCGGGGGGCGGCGAGACCCCTCCCCCCTTTGTCTTAAGTACTCGGAGGTGCGGGGCTGCGCCCGGGCCCGAGCAATGAGCACAGTGCCCTCCCCTGAGCGAACCCTTAAAGTGCCCCGGCTTTGATTGCAACCCCGGTGCACGGGGGAGCGGGAAAGGGAGTGATGAGCGGACAAAGCGTAACTGCCATTATTAAGCACCCAGGCTGGCCGGGCGCGGTCACCACCCTTTTTTCTCGAGGTGGCCGCCGAGGCACACGGGACACAAAGCAGGTGCCCTAGGACGGTGGAAGAGGCAGAGCCGGGATGCGAACCTGGGACTTTTGGCTCTTGGCCCAGTGCGCCAGGCTGAGGAAAACGTGTACTCGAACCGGGCTTTGAAAACCGGGAAGGGTTTGGTGAGTGGCAGTAACTGAGCGAGCTCTGCCGTCATCGCCCTGGGGAAGACATTTGATTTTTTTTAAAAATAGGCCACACTTTCCTCCTCCGTAAACATGGCCCGACTTAGGAAAACTAATAACCAATCTGTAAGTAGTGCTTTGCAACGCGGAAAGCACTTTCAGTTACGTTGTCATAGATAATGCCTCACAATGAATTCACCAAGTAAGCTTTTTTTATTAGCCTCCTTGGACGGACGAAGGAATTGTGTCCTCGAGAGGTTTGTTAGGTCAGGGAGCAGTGACCCCTGCATCACTATTGAATAAATCAGAGGTTTTTCAGGATAACTGCCTTGGATGGGCATAAAGCTCAGAAACTCAAACATCCTGTGATCTCATCATCTACTAGTCCAGAATGATACTTTTGCTGGATCTCCTAGCCCTCCCCAACTTCCAGCATCTCTATCCCAGAAACCCAAATGGCCACAGTGGAGCTATAACTATTAATGTTTCTTTCCAGTTTGGGCTGGGCTATGGGGAGTCCTCGAAGCAAAGCCCAAACTGAGAGGGAGTCGGATGGGGAGTTGATTGAATACAGAAAATTTTAACTGTTTTGGGTTTTCTGAGTAATGATTATTTTGAGGGCATTGGTAACAAATAGTAATAATTTTGTCCTTCCTATTGACAGGTCCACCTCCTAGCAAATTGTTTGGAATGAACATGAGAAATGTAAGTAGGGATTTTTAAGTATCAGTTAAAGGAGCCTAAATTGTTTATGAAATGATGGCAGTTAATTTGGTGATACCATTTCTGGATGTATACAGTTAATTGGGAGTTAATTATCACACGCCCATTTTAATGCGTGAAGAGGGGTCTACACAGGTCTGTCACCACAAGCGCTGACAAGTCTCCTGAGAGATGCTATTTTTATTTTTTTTTACTCCCTCTGGGCCTGTGAAAGGGAAGATGGGCTGTGTGTTTCCTAAGGTCTGTGATGTGTGGCAGGTGTTTTCTGGCATAAGTGTTTTCATTTATCCTGTAACCACCTTTATCCTCACAACAAACTTAAAAGGCAGGAGGCATTCTTATCTTTTTAAGAACTGAGGCTTAAGCTTAAGAAGGCTAAGTAAACCAGTCCTCCTGGTGCCAAAACAACTTTTCACTAAACCACACCTTTCATGTCATTGACCCAGGTTCAGGGTCAACAGATACTTAATGAACGTCTACTTACCCCAGGTGCTTTCGAGTATTTTATTGCATCCTCATGACAACTGACCATGCCTTTTGCTCGTTTCAGCTGATCACCTTAAAATCAATTAGCAAGTCTTCTAAAAAAAATAGCCCACTCCCTCTGGTAGGACAGGAGATAAGCATTTGTAAATCCATGGAAATGTTTATCGGCCCTCTTTCTAAATATGACGGGTGCTGGGGGGCTGGCAACAGCAGCTGTTCCCGTGGTCCTATCCTGAAGTCTCCAAAAGAGTGGTGTGAAGCAAAAATGTGGGACTTACATGGCAAATGGAACTGGAGGAGCGTTTTCTTCTACTGATGACAATTAAGTCTGAAAATGCCATTGGTTTCCTGTGATAGATTAACACATAGGGATTAATATGGGACTCACCATTGATCTGATCCTTGGATCAAGTAGGTGTTACTTACAAAAAAGCATCAGGCAGAAATTCTGACATGGCTATAAGCCAGGCTGTGGGAAGGGGCTGGATAGGTGGGCAGGGAGGGTTCCGAGTTTGAAGGGCCTAGGATGTTATTCTAAGACATTTGTGTGTTAATCTGTGGGCAGTGGGAGCCACGACAGTGTTTGAAAGGGCAGTGACATGATAGGTATGTGCTGTAGGTGGAAGTCTGCGGCCCAGTTGAGGAGGGATTGGAGCAGGTGGAATGGAAGCAGGGAGGCCAGGAAAAGAACTGTTGCAGTTAGTTAATTGGAATGACTGTGGAAGTGTCCAGTAACTGATAAAAATGCTAACCGCTGTCATCCACCGAGCTCTTCCTGTGTGGCCAGATTCTCTGCGAGGGGCTTGTACACATTATCTTATGTACCCTTTGAACTAAATATTTTTATCCCCATTTTACAGGGTAGGAGGCTATGAAGATGGCTTGTACGAAGTCACACAGTGACTAAGTGGTAGAGCCAGAGTTCAAATCCACATCCATCTGATCTAAAGCCTTAGGGCTGCAAATCTAAGTCTGCGTTGCAAACTTAAACACCTGTGACTAGGTCTAGGCGGACTATCTGGATCTTTGTACAGCAGAACTTGCCATATAAAGTACCAGCCTAGTTGATCTGTATCTGAAACATATCCCAAATCTGCCCTCTTACCTCCTTGGCCTGCCACCCCAGATGAGTCAGCGTCAGTTTCTGCCCGCGGTCCTAGTAGATGTCTATTTTCCCAGTGGCCTCACTTGCCAACCTAAAACCTATTTTACACATAGTAGCCTGACTGATCTCTTTAAAATCTGTATTAGGGTGGGCACCTGGGTGGCTCAGTCAGTTAAGCATCTCTTTTTTGATAGATCACAAGTAGGCAGAGCAGCAGGCAGAGAGAGAAGGGGAAGCAGGCTCCCCACTGAGCAGAGAGCCCGATGTGGGGCTTGATCCCAGGACCCTGAGACCATGACCTGAGCCGAAGGCAGACGCTTAACCCACTGAGCCACCAGGTGCCCCAAGCGTCTGGCTCTTGATTTAGGCTCAGGTCATGATCCCCGGTCCTGGGATCCAGCCTGACATCTGGCTCTATGCTCAGTGTAGAGTCTGCTCAAGATTCTCTCTCCCTCTCTCTCTCTGCCCCTCCCCCGCACTTGTCTGTACACTCTCTCTCTTTCAAATAAATAAAATCTTTCAAAAATATATATATTGGAATATATATTTTAATCTTTAATTTAGTTAATCTTATTTAAATTTTTATAATATGTATATATTAGTCAAGGGTACCTGGCTGGCTCAATCAGTAGAAAACACAACTTTATTTTTTTAAAGATTTTATTTATTTATTTGACAGAGAGAGAGATCACAGAGAGGCAGGCAGAGAGAGAGGGGGAAGCAGGCTTCCCGAAGAGCAGAGAGCCTGATTCGGGGCTCAATCCCAGGATCCTGAGATCATGACCTGAGCCAAAGGCAGATGCTTAACCACCTGAGCCACCCAGGTATCCCTAAGATTTTATTTTATTTTTTTTATTTTATTTTTTTTATTTATTTTTATTATTTTTTTTTAATTTATTTGACAGACCACAAGTAGGCAGAGAGGCAGGCAGAGAGAGAGAGGAGGAAGCAGGCTCCCCACTGAGCAGAGAGCCCGATGCGGGGCTCGATCCCAGGACCCTGGGATCATGACCTGAGCCGAAGGCAGAGGCTTTAACCCACTGAGCCACCCAGGCGCCCCCCTAAGATTTTATTTCTAAGTAATCTCTACACCCAACATGGGGCTCGAACTCACAACCTTGAGACCACGAGTCACATGCTCCACTAACTGAACTAGCCAGGCCCCCGTGTGCTCTCTAATTTTTCTCTTGAGCTGCGTGTGTGTTTTTGTGCCAATTCCATGCTACTACAAGTACAACAGCTTCGGATCTTATCTTGAAACCTGGGACTGTGATACCTCCTGTTTGCTCTTCTTCCTCCAGATTGCTGGGCTACTCAGGGTCTTTTGTGGTTCCATACACGTTTTAGCATTATTTGTTCTAATTTTGAGAAAAACAACATCCACCTTTTTTTTTTTTTTAAGATTTTATTCATTCATTTGAAAGAGACAGAGAAAACACAAGCAGGGGGAGAGGCAGAAGGAGAGGGATTCAGGGCTCGATCCTAGGACCTAGGATCATGACCTGAGCCAAAAGCAGACACTCAATCACCTGAAACACCCAGGTCCCCCAACCGCCACCCTCTTAATTTTAAGCAGGTCCCTTATCTTGCCCCCCTCTGCTTCCCGGCACTTTGGACATGGCATGGCATTTTGAGTCTCTTGATAAAACTCATGGAATGAAAGACTCTAGTCATGATATAAATACAACTATATTATTATTATTATTATTTTTAAAGATTTTATTTATTTATTTGACAGATAGAGATCACAAGTAGGCAGAGAGGCAGGCAGAGAGAGAGAGAGGAGGAAGCAGGCTCTCCACTGAGCGGAGAGCCCGATTCGGGGCTCGATCCCAGGACCCTGAGATCATGACCTGAGCCGAAGGCAGAGGCTTTAACCCACTGAGCCACCCAGGCATCCAAAATACAACTATATTATTAACAAAAAGCTAGGTTCTGTTCTCTGCCACTCACAATTCCATCTGCAAATCCTGAAGCAGAAGTACTTCTCACCACTAAATATAACCCCATATGTCCGCTTTTCTGCATTCCCACCACTCCCATCCTTCTCCAGCTACTGACTGGCTCTCTCCGTGACACCACGACCGCCTCCAAGCTGGTCCCCTAAATCAAAGGCCTCAGGCCTTCTCTCCTGACTGCACACTGGTATCTGCGGAAGCAAAGAATGAGGTGTGTTATTAGGGCAGAAATGTTTATTTATGATGTCGCCGGAAAATGTGCTAGCTGGCCCTAGTGTGTGCGTGTGCTAGGTGGCTAGAACAGAATCCCACAGATGGTGCAGCTTAAACAGCCGAGAGTTATTTTCTCGCAGTTCCGGGGGGTCAGAAGCCTAAGATTCAAGTGACGGCCGCTTTTCCTTTCTCTGAGGCCTCACTCGTGGGCTTGCAGATGCCGCCTTCTTGTGGTGTCCTCATGTGGTCATTTCTTTTTCTTTTCTTTTTTTTTTTTTTAAGATTTTATTTATTTATTGGACAGACAGAGATCACAAGTAGGCAGAGAGGCAGGCAGAGAGAGAGAGAGGAGGAAGCAGGCTCCCCGCCGAGCAGAGAGCCAGATGTGGGGCTCCATCCCAGGACCCTGGGATCATGACCTGAGCCGAAGACAGAGGCTTTAACCCACTGAGCCACCCAGGTGCCCCTCATGTGGTCATTTCCCCAAATGTGTGCACACATTTGTGTCCTCATCTCTTCTTACAAGGACACCAGTCAAACTGGGTGAGGGCCCACCTGCGGGACCTGGTTTTACCTTGACTACATCTTTACAGGCCCTGTCCCTAAATACAGTCAGAGTCTGACATACTGGGGTTAGAATCTGAACATAGGAATTGAAAGGGGGCAGGACGCAATTCAGCCGGTTCCACAAATGACATCTGTCTGATACTGCATAAATCTTCTGGCTTGAGGCCATTTTGATGCCTGCTTTCACTCTGTCTCGCTGTCAAATAAATAAATAAAATCTTGAACAATGTTTTTTTTTTTTTAAATTTATTTATTTGTCAGAGAGAGAGCACACACAAGTAGGCAGAGTGTCTGGCAGAGGCAGTGAGAGAAGTGGGCTCCCCGCCGAGCAAGGAGTCCGATGCGGGACTCGATCCCAGGACCCTGGGATCATGACCTGAGCCGAAGGCAGAGGCTTAACCAACTGAGCCACCCAGGCGTCCCATTGAACAATGTTTTTTTTGGAAAAGTATTGTGCCTAGATGAATGTGAAACAGGAAATGGGTCCTGCTTCCAAGGTTTGAGAAGGTGTGTGGTGTCCGCCATTAAGTTCTTAGGACATAAATACTTACTGAATTTGTTTGTTTGTTTGTACTTAATGAACAGAACTAGTAGGTATTTCTATAGGCTTAGGAGGTCATGAAACGATTATGGAAACACTAGATGCCCCAAGATTGTGAAAATTCGGGAACCTCCTTTACTCCAAATGGGTCAGTGGATCCCAGATTTCAGAAACACCAGGGAAGATTTTTTTTTTCTAAGATTTTATTTACTTATTTGACAGAGAGACACAGTGAGAGAGGGAACACAAGCAGGGGAAGTGGGAGAGGGAGAAGCAGGCCCCCCGCCAAGCAGGGAGCCCGACATGGGACTCGATCCCAGGACCCTAGGATCATGACCTGAGCTGAAGGCAGACGCTTAATGACGACGCTTAATGACTAAGCCACCCAGGCACCCCACCAGGGAAGATTTTAATTAAACAGATTTCTCCAGGTCCCACCCTGGACCTATTGAAAAAATATTTGGGACTTGAGCCTTGGGTCAGTTTTGGGATCCACTGGTCTAAGCTAACCCCTTCATGAAGGCCTAGGAAGGGAAATGTTTTGCCAGAGGTCACACAGCAAGTTAGCGGCTGAGCTACACCTAGAATTGAGATTCTAATGGAACCATCAGATTTTCTTTCTCTTCTTGAACATTTCTCATATCCATACCTGCAAATGTCAGGGCCATCTGCTGCTTAAAGACACACACGACCCTGACCTCAATGACAGATGGAAATTACATGGAGAGACTCCATGTTAAATACATCAGTTGCATATTTAAAAAGATTATTTATTTATTTATTTGAGAGAGAGAGAGCATGGGGAGGGGCAGAGGGAGAGGGACAAGCAGACTCTGGGCTGAGCAGGGATGTGGGGCTCCATCCCACGACCCTGAGATCATGACCTGAGCAGAAATCAAGAGTCGGATGCTTCACTGAGCACCCCCAGGCCCCCCACATCAGTCACATTTAAAAAATTTATCATGTAAGATCTATATGAGGAAAACCATGAAACTCTGATGAAAGATCTTAAAGAGGAATTAAGTAAATGGAGAGATAGTTCATGTTTTTGGATAGGAAAACTCAATATTGCCAAGATGTCCATTCTTTCCAACTTGGTCTATAGATTCAGTTCCATCCCAGTCAAAATCCCATAAGCTCTTCTGTGGATGTTGACAGGTTCTACAGTTTGTAATGTAGAGGCAAAAAGAATAGTCAATTCAGTATTGAAGAGTGAAGTCAGAGTGATGTAGGCAGGCCAGGTCTGAGAATCTGGAGGGGGTCCTGTAGGACCAGCCAGGACAGTCTCAGGATGCATTGAGGAGACATCAAATGCGGACAGCAGCACGGGTAAGAGGAGAGTTTATTGAAAGCATAGAGACAGTGCAGGTACAGACAGAATGTCTGGGAAACTCAGAAAAGAAAGGAGAAAGAGTCTCATCTTTGCTCAAATTTTTGCTCTGCAAAGGGATTTTTACTGAGGATTATAGTCTGGTGTATGTGTCCCCTTAGACAACCAGGAACTGGTTAGATGAGTCCCGGGTGCTATTCCTTGGAGCTGGGGAATCTTGGTGTCGATGCCTTGCACCAGCTATCTGGAATGTGCATGTGATGGCTTGTCTGGTCCTTCTCACCCGGTCCTTCCTTAGATGTCATCTATTCTAGAGAAATTGTCAACTCCTTGTCCCTTATAAGGAGGACATGCACTATTTGCATTCTGAGGTTTGTGTAAAAGTAGGGGTGTAGGTCCTAGCAAGAATAGCAGCAGGATGGGTGCCTGGGTGGCTCAGTGGGTTAAAGCCTCTGCCTTCGGCTCAGGTTATGATCTCAGGGTCCTGGAATCGAGCCCCGCATTGGGCTCTCTGCTCGGCAGGGAGCCTGCTTCCTCCTCTCTCACTGCCTGCCTCTCAGCCTACATATGATCTCTGTCTGTCAAATAAATTAATAAATAAAATCTTAAAAAGAATTAGGAGAAAGTAATTAAAAAAAAAGAATAGAAGCAGGAAAAGGAGGAAAAAGCTGATTTCTCTGCAGTCTTTCAGTTTCTCTATCTCAAGAGGACTGACATTACCCAACTTCCAAGACTTCCTATAAGGCTATGGTAATCAAGCCAGTGGTATTGGTGAAGAATAGAGAAACGGGTCAGTGGAGCAGAATAGGGAGCCCAGAAATAGAGCTGCATAAAAACAGCCAACTCCTTGATCAAGTAGAAGAGGCAATACGGTGGAGCCAGGAGTCTTTTTAACAAACGGTGCTGGAACAACTGGACATCCGTATGCAAAAAAATGAATCCAGACAGAGACCGATCACCCTTGACAAAATTTAACTTAAAATGGATCATAGATCTACAAGTAAAATGCAAAACTGTGAAACCCCTAGGAGGTAACATAGGGGAAAATCTGAATGAATGATCATCTCCATGAGGAGATGGTGATGACTTTTTTTTTTTTTAAGATTTTATTTATTTATTTGACAGAGATCACAAGTAGGCAGAGAGGCAGGCAGAGAGAGAGGAAGGGGAGCAGCCTCCCTGCTGAGCAGAGAGCCCGACTCAGGGCTCGATCCCAGGACCCTGGGATCATGACTTGAGCTGAAGGCAGAGGCTTAACCCACTGAACCACCCAGGCGCCCCAAACTTTTTAGGTACAACAAAGGCATGATCCATGTAAGAAATAACCAATAAACTAGACTTCATTAGAATTAAAAAGTTTTGCCCTGCAAAGGACATTGTCAAGAGAATGAAAAGCCAGACTGGGTGAAAATATTTGCAAAAGACATATCTGGTAAAGGATTATTATCCACAATATACAAAGAACTCTCAAAATGCAATGATAAGGGGCACCTGGGTGCCTCAGTCGTTAAGTATCTCCCTTTGGCTCGGGTCATGGTCCCGGGGTCCTGGATCGAGCCCCGTATCGGGCTCCCCGCCTGCTTGGTGGGGAGCCTGCTTATCCCTTTCCAACTCTCTCTGCTTGTGTTCCTTTTCTCGCTGTAATAAATAAAATCTTTAAAGAAAAGTGTAATGAGAAGAGAACAACCTGATTAAAAAATGGGGCAAAGATTTTAACAGACACAGAACAGAAGGCAAGTAAGCACATGAAAAAATGCCCTACACCAAGTAACCCCAGTGAAATGAAAACTAAAACAACAATGAGATGCCTCTTTACACATATTGGAACCCCCAAAATCTAGAACACTGACAACATCAAATGCTCTCAAGGATATGGAGCATCAGGAACTCTCATTCATTGCTGGTGGGAATGCAAAATGGCACAGCTGCTTTGGAAGACCGATTGGTGATTTCTCACAAAACTAACCATAATCTAACCATACCATCCAGCTTCTTGATGTTTACTCCAAGGAGCTGAAGACTTATGTCCACAAGAAAACCCGCATACGGGTGTCCATAGCAGTTGCCAAAACTTGGAAGCAACCGAGTTCTTCAGGAGGTGAATGGATAAATAAACTGGTCCGTCCAGATAATGGGGAATTTTTCACCGCTAAAAAGAAATGAGCTATCAGGGGGCGCCTGGGTGGCTCAGTGGGTTAAGCCTCTGCCTTCGGCTCAGGTCATGATCTCAGGGTCCTGGGATCGAGTCCCGCATCGGGCTCTCTGCTCAGCAGGGGGCCTGCTTCCCTCTCTCTCTCTCTCTCTCTGCCTGCCTCTCTGTCTACTTGTGATCTCTCTCTGTCAAATAAATAAATAAAATCTTAAAAAAAAATAAAAAGAAATGAGCTATCAAGCCATGAGAAGACACGGAGGAACCTTAAATGCATATAACTACGTGAAAGAAGCCAATCTGAAAAGACTACATGCTATATGATTCCGCTTGTTTGACATCTGGAACAGGCAAAACCATGGAGATAATAAAAAAGATGAGTGGTTGCCATGAGTTGGGGGAGGGAGAGATGAAGAGGACACAGAAGATTTTTGGGGTAGAAGATATTCTATGTGATGCCATCCTGGTGGATATATATCTTACATTTGTCTAAACCCCTAGAATGGGCAACACCCAGGGTGAACCCTCATGTCAGCTGTGGACTTTGATGATAATGATGGATCAGTATAGGTTCACAATGTAACAAGTGTCCTTCTCTGGTGGGGATGTTGATGGGGGGAGGCAATGGATGTGTGGGGGCAAGGGATGTAGAGGAAATCTCTGTACTTTCCACTCAATGTATCTTTGAACCTAAAACCACTCTAAAAATCAGAAGTCTATTAAAAAGATTGTAGATACTTTTGTGCCTAATAGATGTGACTACTGGGAGTTCATGCTATTCTTGTGTGAGCTGTACTACCCTCAAAGCTTATCACAACACTGGCACATGACCTGTCTGATGTGGGGGAAAAAATCTGTCTAGAAGTCAATAAACAAGTTTATGAATCCCCATTAGTAGCAGAGTCCATTTAGTGAAGCAAAAATAGGATTGTGGGAATTATATAATGCTAAGTACTCAAAACTATTTTAATGAGTCATTACCAGGGACCTATTGAAAGACACAGGGAACCATATAAGGGAAATATAAAATGTTCCTGGGGCACCTGGCTGTCTCATTTGGTAGAGCCTGCAGCTCTTGATCTCAGGTTTGTGAGTTCGAGCCCCATGTTGGATGTAGAGCTTACTTAAAATAATATTAATAATAAATCAGTGAGATCATACAATTGTCTTTCTCTAATTGACTTATTTAACTTAGCATAATACCCTCTAGTTCCATCCACATCGTTGCAAATGGCAAGATTTTAGTTTTTTGATGGCTGCATAGTATTCCATTGTATGTATGTGTGTGTGTGTGTATACACACACACACACACACACACACACACACACACACACACACACCACATATTCTTTATCTGTTCATCTGTTGATGGACATCTAGGCTCTTTCCATAGTTTGGCTATTGTGGACATTGTTGCTATAGACATTGGGGTACAGGTGCCCCTTCGGATCACTACATTTGTATCTTTGGGGTAAATACCCAGTAGTGCAATTGCTGGGTCGTAGGGTAGCTCTATTTTCAACTTTTTGAGGAACCTCCATACTGCTTTCCAGAATGGTTGCACCAGCTTACATTCCCATCAACACTGTAGGAGGGTTCCCCTTTCTTTGCATCCTCATTAACACCTTTTGTTTCCTGACTTGTTAATTTCAGCCATTTTGACTGGTGTGAGGTGGTATCTCACTGTGGTTTCGATTTGTACTTCCCTGATGCCTAGTGATGTTAAGCACTTTTTCATTTGTCTGTTGGCCATTTGGTTGACTTTGCCAAAATGTCTGTTCATGTCTTCTGCCTATTTCTTGATTGGATTATTTGTTCCTTGGGTGTTGAGTTTGATATGTTCTTTATAGATTTTGGATACTAGCCCTTTATCTGATAAGTCATTTGCAAATATATTCTCCCATTCTGTCAGTTGTCTTTTTGGTTTTGTTGACTGTCTCCCTTTTTTGTGCAAAAGCTTTTTATTTTGATGAAATCTCAATAGCTCATCTTTTTAATGTTGAAGTTATAGTTTTTTATTTGCAGGGTCCATGAAGTTGTATTTAAAAATTATTATGGATCAATAAGTTATTTCGACCACTATTAGCATACTATTGATGAAAACAAATGGGTTATATTATAAATTTTGTTAACTACTTAGACAGAAAAATCACATTTTTTATTTTAGATGCATCTTTTTTCAATAGTTCATTTTTGCCCTTGCTTCCTTTGCCTTTGGCGATGTTTCTAGGAGGAAGTTGCTGTGGCTAAGGTCAAAGAGGTTGCTGCCTGTGTTCTCCTCAAGGATTTGGATGGATTCCTTTCTCACATTTAGTTCTTTCATCCATTTCGAGTGTATTTTTGTGTGTGGTGTAAGGAAATGGTCCAGTTTCATGTGGCTGGATGTGGCTGTCCGATTTTCCCAACACCATTTGTTGAAGAGACTGTCTTTTTTCTTTTGGACATTCTTTCCTGCTTTGTCAAACATTAGTTGACCATAGAATTGAGGGTCCAGGGACGCCTGGGTGGCTCAGTGTGTTAAAGCCTCTGCCTTTGGCTCGGGTTGTGATCACGGGGTCCTGGGATCAAGCCCCATGTTGGGTTCTCTGCTCAGCGGGAAGCCTGCTTCTCTTCCTCTCTCTGCCTGCCTCTCTGCCTACTTGTGATCTCCGGCTGTCAAATAAATAAATAAAATCTTAAAAAAAAAAAAAAAGAGTTGAGGGTCCGTTTCTGGGTTCTCTATTCTGTTCCATTGATCTATGTGTTTTTGTGTCAGTACCATGCTGTCTTGGTGATCACAGCTTTGTAACAGAGCTTGAAGTCTGGCATTGTGATGCCACCAGCTTTGCTTTTCTTTTTCAACATTCCTCTGGGTATTCGTTTTTTTTTCTGGTTCCATACAAATTTTAGGGTTATTTGTTCCATTTCTTTGAAAGAAGTTGATGGTATTTTGATAGGGTTTGCTTTAAATGTTTAGATTGCTCTAGGTAGCACAGACATTTTCACAATTGGTTCTTCTAATCCATGAGCATGGAATGTTTTTCCATTTCTTTGTGTCTTCCTTAATTTCTTTCATGAGTATTCTATAGTTTTCTGAGTATAGATTCTTTGCCTCTTTGGCTAGATTTATTCCTAGGTGTCTTATGGTTTTTGGTGCAATTATAAATGGGATTGACTCCTTAACTTTTCTTTCTTCTGTCTTCTTGTTGGTGTATAGAAATGCAACTGATTGGTGCACCTGGGTGGCTCAGTGGGTTAAGCCTCTGCCTTTGGCTCAGGTCATGATCTCAGGGTCCTGGGATCCTTTGCTCAGGGTCCCTTGCTCAGCAGGGTGCTTGCTTCCCTCCCACCCACCACCTGCTTCTTTGCCTACTTGTGATCTCTCTCTCTGTCAAATAAATAAAATCTTAAAAAAAAAAAAAAGAAATGCAACTGATTTCTGTGCATTGATTTTATATCTTGACACTTTACTGAATTCCTGTATGAGTTCTAGCAGTTTTGGGATGGAGTCTTCTGGGTTTTCCACATAAAGTATCATATCATCTGCCAGCTTACTTTTTAAAACAGTTTAAAAAAAGAACAATCATATGTTATATTTACCCACATACTTGCCATTTTCAGTGTACTTTTTTTCTTCCTATAGGTTTGAATTTTCATCTCTCCCTCCAGGCTGAAGAACTTCTTTTAGCATTTCTTGGAGTAAGTGTCTGCTGCTGGCTACAAATTATTCTAGACTTTGCTTATCTGAAAATGTTTATTTTATTAAGAATTTTTATATAATTGTGGTAAAATACCCATAAGATTGACCATTTTATTTATGTTTTATTTTCTTATTTTTTATTTTTATTTTTTCATGATTTACCATCTTAAAGTGTACAGTGACATTAAGTACGTTCACATTTTTTGTATGACCATTACCACCATCCATCTCCAGAAATTTTTCATCTTCCCAAACTGAAACTCTGTCCTCATTAAACATGAACTCCCAATAGAATAGAGCTCTTAGAAAAATACCCCTTGCATATATGGTCAAATGATTTTCTTTCTTTTCTTTTAAAAAAAATATTTTATTTATTTGTCAGAGAGAGAGCACAAGCAGAGTGAGAAGCAGGCTCCTTGCTGAGCAAGGAGCCCCATGTGGGACTCAATCCCAGGACCCTGGGATCATGACCTGAACCAAAGACAGACGCTTAAGGAGTTGAGCCACCCAGGTGTCCCTGGTCAAATAATTTTCAACAAGGGTAACAAGATCATTTAATGGGGAAAGGAGTCTTTTCAACAAGTGTCCTGGGAAAACTGGATTATCCACATGTGAAAGAATTACCTTATACAAAATTTAACACAAAATGGATTAAAGATTTAGGAGACCCAAGAGATAGAACTATAAAGACCTAAGAACTAAAACTTCAAAGCGCTTAGGGCCACCTGGGTGGCTCAGTCAGTTGAGCATCTACTCTTGGTTTTGGCTCAGGTCATGATCTCAGGGTCATGAGATCAAGCCCAAGTTGGGCTCCCCACTCAGCGCAGACAGAGTCTACTTAGGACTGTCTCTCCCTCTCACTATGCCCCTCCCCACCCATGCGCGGTCTTGCTCTCAAATAAATAAATAAATAAATAGGTTTTGTTTTTTGTTTTTTTGTTTTTTTTTTAAAAAGCTAAGATAGTCTTAAAAGAAATCTTCATGACGTTGCTTTTGGCAGTGACTTCTTGGCTAGGACACTAAAAGCACAGGAAAACAAAAGTTAAAATTTATCAACTGGACTACATCAAAACTAAGAATTTCTGTTTATCAAGGGACAGGATCAACAATGAAAAGACAGACTACATGGGAGCCTGGGTGGCTCAGTCAGTAGAGCATTGTACTCTTGACCTGGGGTCATGAGTTTGAAACCCATGTTGGGGATAGAGTTGTTTTTTTTTTTTTAAAGATTTTATTTATTTATTTGAGCGACAGAGATCACAAGCAGGCAGAGAGGCAGGCAGTGAGAGAGGAAGGGAGGCAGGCTCCCTGCTGAGCAGAGAGCTCCATGCAGGGCTCGAACCCAGGACCCTGGAATCATGACCCGAGCCGAAGGCAGAGGCTTTTAACACACTGAGCCACCCAGGCGCCCTGGGGATTAAAGTTTATTAAAAAAAAAAAAAAAAAAAAAGGCAACCTGTGGAATGGGAGAAAATATCTTCAAGTCATATATCTGATAAGGGTTAACAACCAGAATATATAAAGAACTCCAACAACTTAAATAAAACAAAACTCCAAATAACCCAATTAAAAAATGGGCAAAGTATTTGAATAGAACTTCACTGAAGAAGATACACAGATGGCCGAGAAACACACGAAGAGATGCTCAGCGCAGCCCGTCCTCACTCAGGGAAATGCAAATCAGAACCACCCCAGGAAATAACAAGTGTTGGCAAGGATGTGGAGAAATCAGAGCCCATCTGCATTGCTGTTGGGAATGAAAAATTATACAGCTGCTATGGGAAATAGTATGGTGGTTCCTCAAAAAACTAAAAATGGAAAAAAGCCAGCCATTTTACTTCTGAGTATATATCCAGAAGAATTGAAAGCAGGGTCTTGAAGAGATAATTATGTATTTGTTTATATTTATTTTTAAGGATTTTATTTATTTATTTGAGTGAGAGAGAGAGAGCGAGAGAAGGCATGAGTGGAGGATTGGGAAAGGGAGAGGGAGAAGCAGGCTCTCTCCTGAGCAGGAAGCCCAATGTGGGACTCGATCCCAGAACGCTGGGATCATGACTTGAGCCAAAGGCAGACGCTTAACTGACTGAGCCACCCAGGTGTCCCTTGAAGAGATATTTGTACACCCATATTTACAGCAGCATTGTTTGTAGTAGCCCAAAGTACAAACATCCAAATGTCCATTGACAGATTTAATAAATAATATACACATACATATGTATATTCATATATATACATAATATGTGTCTATACAATATTCCAAAATGTGTATATACACACATTTTATATGTCTATTATACATATATTACATAAAACACATATATATATATGAATGTGTGTGTCTGCATATACACAGAGGAATGTTATTCAGCCTTAAAAAGGAAAGAAATTTTGTGTTATAGATAAGTGATGAACCACTAAATTCTCCTAAAACCAGTCTTACACTATATGTTAATCAACTAGAATTTATTTTATTCTTTTAAAAGATGTTATTTATTTATTTATTTGACAGAGATCACAAGTAGACAGAGAGACAAGCAGAGTGGGGTGGGGGGGAAGCAGGCTCCCTGCTGAGCAGAGAGCGCGATGTGGGGCTCGATCCCAGAACCCTGAGATCATGACCTGAGTTGAAGACAGAGGCTTTAACACATTGAGCCACCCAGGCGCCCCAACCAACTAGAATTTAAATAAAAATTAGGAAAAAAAAAATCGGATACATGCTACAATATGCATTAACCTTATACTAAGTGAAATAAGCCGCTCAGAAAAAAGCATTATTCTGTTTGTATGTGGTACCTAGTCAAATACGTAGCGACAGAAAATAGAAAGGTGCTTGCCAGGGGCTGGTGGGGGTGGGGATGAGTTCTCGTTTAGTGGGTACAGAGTTTCAGATTTGCAAGATGAAATAAGTCCTGGTCAGTAGTCCTAAGACAACATGAATGTATTAACACTATTGAACTATACACATAAAAACAGTTATATGTTTAATTTTATGTTATCCATATTCTATCACAATTTTTAAAAAATCTTTGGGAGAGGAAAAAGAACACTAATTCCAATTTCCAGTTTTTGATAATTATGAACAAGGCTGCTACATACATTTTTGTACAGGTTTTTGTGTGAACATAAGTTGTGCTGTCTTTGGGGTAAATACCTAGAAGTAAGATTGCTTAGTTACAAGATGAGTAAGGGTATGTTTAACCTTTTTTTCTTTTTTTTTAAGATTTATTTATTTATTTGACAGAGAGAGATCCCAAGTAGGCAGAGAGGCAGGCAGAGAGAGGGGGAAGCAGGCTCCCTGCTGAGCAGAGAGCTCGATGCGATGCGGGGCTCGATTCCAGGACCCTGGGATCATGACCTGAGCTGAATGTAGAGGCTTTAACCCACTGAGCCACCCAGGCGCCCCTCCTTAAACCAGTCTTAACACTATATGTTAACCAACTAGAATTTATTTTTTTATTTTATAACTTTTTTTTTTTTTTTAATTTGACAGCAGAGATCACAAGTGGGCAGAGAGGCAGGCAGAGAGAGAGAGAGGAGGAAGCAGCCTCCCCGCCGAGCAAGGAGCCTGATGCGGTACTCGATCCCAGGACACTGGGATCATGACCTGAGCCGAAGGCAGAGGCTTTAACCCACTGAGCCACCCAGGCGCCCCAGGTTTGTTTAACTTTATGAAAAACTGCCCAGCTATTCTTCACAATGGTTGTGCATTTGCATTCCGCATACATACCCTCATTCCATGTTCTCACCACGACTCTATAGCCAGGTTCGCCCCATTCTAATAGGTGTGTTGGGATATCTCACTGTGGTTGTAGTTTTTCATTTCCCTGGTGTCTAAGGATTTGGAGTCTCTTTTCCTATGTTTATGTGCCATTTGTAGGTCTTTTGTTGGCAAAGTGCTCAGATCTTTTACTTGTTTTTGAAAAATTGGGTTGATTGGGTTGTTTGCTTTGTTTTGTTAACTTTTGAGATACAAGTTCTTTGTTTTGGATACTAGGTTTTTATTTTTTTTTATTTTTAAAAAGGTTTTATTTATTTATTTGACAGAGACAGTGAGAGAGGGAATACAAGCAGGGGGAGTGGGAGAGGGAGAAGCGGGCCTCCCGCAGAGCAAGGAGCCCAATGTGGGGCTCGATCCCTGAACTCTGGGATCATGACCTGAGCCAAAGGCAGACGCTAAACGACTGAGCTAACCAGGAGCCCCTGGATACTAGTTTTTTGTTTTGTTTTTTTTTTAATCAAGATATAATTGACATACAATAGTATGCAGTCTTAGTTACAGGTACATAACATAATGATTTGATATAAGGTATATTTGGTAAAATAATCACCATAAGTCTAGTTAACAATCATTACCACATATAGTTATGAATTTTTTCTTGTGATGAGAATTTTTAAGATCTATAGTTTTAGCAAATATGCAATATTGTATTTTTTTAAGTTTTTATTTATGTAAGTAATTTCTATACTCAGCGTGGGCCTTGAACTCATGACCCCAAGACCAAGAGTCATACTCTTCCAACTGAGCCAGCCAGGCACCCCTGCCATACCGTACTATTAACCCTAGCCACCGTGCCATACACTACATCCCCAGGACTTGTTTATCTTATAACTGGAAGTTTATACCTTCAGGCCCCCTCCACCCATTTTTTGTCCCCCACCCCCTAGCTCTGTTAACCACCACTTTGTTCTCAGTATCTATGAGTTCAGGTTTTTTGTTTTGTTTTTGTTTTTTTTTGGTTCCACATATAAGTGAGATCACAAGATATTTACTGTTTTCTGTCCGACTTATTTTGTTTAGCATAATGCCCTTAACGTGCATCCGTGTTGTTATAGATGGAAGGATTTCCTTTGTTATGGCTGAGTAGAATTCCATACCTATATATGTATGTGTGCATTTTCTTTCTGTTCATCCGTTGATGAATGGACATTAAGGTTGTCTCCATATCTTGGTTATTGAAAATAATGCTGTTGTATTATA